AACCCCTTAACATCCCAGTCTTATTACATACAAAGGCTTATTATTCAGTAACTACAGACACTTCAATGCAAACTGGTGGAGCTATTTGTAGGTTATTGAAGTGTGTAATAAAACCACTTGAGGGGCTAAAACTGTCATAACACAATGTGCCAGACATCAGACAGTGAATTCATAACTATTTCATGTAGTAACTTTCTGTGAGGGAGCTTTTAGAGGTGGACGTCTGGTTCCTATCACCACCACTGTGAACAATTCTGACTCTGTAAGTTTCTTTAGAACAGAGCGTTTCACACCAAACCACTCTGAATGACTCTGTTTATATATAAACCATTTAATTACACAGAGACTGAAAAATCAGTGGAGTTCCCCTTTAAGCTGTGGCCCTCGTACTCTGATTAAGGAGTAATGTGCTGGTCTTTAAGGCTGAGAGATGTTGTGCACTTTTTATGTGGAAGCTGCAGAACACAAACTGAGACTGTCACCTGATTAGTAGCGTCATTAATGTGGAGAATGCAGCTGTTCAGGATCCAAAACAACAACAATAAACATGCTACTGTTTATTATGCAGTGATAGGAGTTCAGCTGAGTGACCTTCTGGTGGGCTCCATTGAAGGTCCACTCACTCTAATCTACAGGCTGAGCTACAGTAAAATATATATAATTCTAATAAAAGGAGACTTTAGTGTTCCTGAAAACGACCTGCTCTCCTTCAGGAATGTGTGACGTAGAGAATTCCAGCTGGAATTCCCCGTCACATGATCACTTTCCGTTTTTTCCGTTAGCTTTTCTGTTTCCTTTCTCCAGAACACTTTCTGAGTGGAAATGGAAACTCACTGTGCTGTTTGTTGTGGGCAAAGGCTGGTCCAAAGTACAGACTGTGTTTATCGACACTGAGCGACTGACATTTACATCAGCACATTTGTTTTGATATTGATCATTAATAACTTATACAATGCAATTTTAAAGTGGAACTCCTCCAGTTTTTCCAAACGTCTGTATAATTTAGAGGTTGAATCATAAACATCTTTTCCATACGTGTTTTCTGTTCTTTTAAGAGGACAACAAAATGTATTGAAATGATTTTGTGTGGTAACTGACCACACATTACAGATGCAGCAGATGGACGTTAGGTTGAAAAACACCAGACCATTCCTTTAAGAACTCTCACTGTACAGGACGGTTATGAACAGTGAGTGAAGAAGGCCTTTCCCATAGAACACTCTAGAGCAGGGGTGCCCTAAATTTTTGTCTTGGGGGGCCAAAATGCCAAAACACTGCAAGACCAATCAAATACTTTGTGTTGGGTGTTTACAAATAATGTACTTAGTTGCAAAACATATATGTATATATATATATATATATATATATATATATATACATATATAAATATTGTAACACTGAGGTAGAGTACGATACAGGAGGCTTCGATTTCACCAACGGAAGGTGGAATATCACCACTACCAGGGGTTGTCACAACTAGCCATACACTTCACCCTCATGATGACCACCAACCCACACTAACTAAGCCCACTCCCTGACTCAAAACAGCACGATAAACACATACAAATACCTTAAGACGGATAAATGACATCATCAACAACCTTTAAGCCCCTTTTAGGTGGGCGCACTCCTACCTTAAGCCTTCGCGCAGAGTCTCTATGACCACAACAGCCACTCACTGGACGCTACTATGTTGATGGATCCTCCACTGCCTTACATATCCCATAATCCTTTGTGTCACAATCTGTGTCTGCGCTGATGCGGTTTGAAAAATAACAGCAGAGAGTCTAGAAGGAGGAAGGTGAACACAACTGTTTACAAGTCGGCTGCTTTGTTGAGCTGTTTTGGCCACAGCTCTGCCATACAAACACGGTCTGAATGCTAACAGAGCTCTCTGAGTTAGCTGTTGACCCAAGCTGGGGTGGGACAGAGCACCCATCAGGTCCACACCGCCTGAGCGCTCGACCTTGACTGGACTGTTCCAGAGCCGGTTTATGAGGAGTCTGGCCGCTTCTTATTTCCTCCGTTATACCAAAATCAGGACTGCAAAATGCCGATGGCGGCCCTGAGCGAGTCCTCAGTGAAAGGGAGTAAATGGAGCTCAACGGCTAAAAACGAAAAGTTAAAATAGTTTCTATTCACTCACCCAGAACTTTCCTTTAATGAAAGAAAGTAGAAGGATGTATTTCACTAAAAAAGGAAAAAAAAAACTTACATATATGTTTCCTTTTTTCTTCAGCAAACAGATTCTGGGCAGGAAGACTTTAACATTACTACAATTGAGTGCTAACTGGTTAGCATTACTGCTACCAAGTGCTGATTGGTTGGTGAGCAGAGTGGCTCATTGGTTTTATGTATTGCTGCTGTCGGACAAAAACCTCGTCTCTCTATTTTTGATTTACTTTGTGTGTAAATTTAATGATAAACGGACTGAAAGAAACGGCCAAAAATGACTTGGAAAGAAGTCTGATTCTATTGACTTACATTAAAAGTAGGTTTTTTCCTTCTCCTGTAAAGTTACCATTTTGGAGATACGAGGTTTTGATATATATATATAAATATAGTGGGACAGAGAAAAACCAGACTGGGTGGGAATATTTATTTATTATATATTATATTATATTATATTATTTATAAAGGGTTTATCTGTTTCATTTACACTGTGCTGGCTACGCCTCTCTCCTGCGGTGACGTCACCGCCCGGGCGGAGAAAGGAAACCAAAAGTGTCCCTTCAGGAAAAACGAAAACTAGACCAGAGGCTTCTTCTCCGCCTATTGGCTGGCGCGCCGAGGGGGCGTGGCCACGACATCGTTTATACTAAGGGAGAGCGAGTCTCTCTGATCTGCATTCACACAGGACACCGGTCACTCAGAGGTGAGTTAAACTCTGTTAAACAGCTTTAATAGACAGATTAAAACTGCAGCTCCACAGTGTTCAGAGTGTTTAAACTCAGAGTGTTTATTCACTTTATTCAACTGCTTTTCAACAACTTTTGACTCAGTAATTTAGGTGTTAATCCACTGACTGAGTTCCTTTAACACTGTGCTTATTTATAGGGAATCCCTGTTAATGAATTCAGTCTGTGCAGTCTTTATAGGAGTTCACCTAACACTAGGAGTTAAAGGGGAATTCCACTGATTTTCCATAGTTTCCTCATGATTCGCTGTTTGAGATGTAAACAGAGTCATTCAGAGTGGTTTGGTGTGAAATGGTTGATTGTAGAGACTCAGATTTCTTTTCAGTGGTGGTGATAGGAACCAGGGGTTGCCATGACTACAACACAGATATAGACATTTTAAAATTACACTTTAGGCCAAAATCTTTTTAAAACTATCGTAAAACAGTGTTTCAAACATCAGGCAGTGAATTCATAACTATTTCATGTAATAACTGTCTGTGAGGGAGCTTTTAGAGGTGGACGTCTGGTTCCTATCACCACAGTTCTGTATACCAACGCTGTAGGTGCTAAGTCAATACAGCAGGGCTTTACTTCAGTGGTGTGTGTGTTTATCCAGATCTTTAACAGTTAATCCCACACTGTGGGTATGTCTGGATTCCTCCAAAATCCTCAGTGCTGAATTCAGTCTTATAGAGCTAGTTTTCTGGACAGGGATTAAGCCTACTTCTGGACTACAAAGCATTCTGAATGGAAATTCTCCATTGAAAGGAAAATATAGTCCACAAATCGTTTTAATCCCTGTCCAGGAAACCAGTCCATAGTGTTTATTTGACCAGTGTTAATTCAACAGTGTGTGCATTCTGTGAAACAATGAATGGTGTTCATTAAATGCTGTAAGGGTTCATTCAGGACACCGTAAGAGTTGAGTCAACGCTGTTTGGTTCTAGAGAAACTTACTGAGTCAGAATCGTTCACAGTGGTGGTGATAGGAACCAGACGTCCACCTCTAAAAGCTCCCTAATAAAAAAGTGAATACATGAAATGGTTATGAATTCACTGCCCGATGACTGAGACGTTGTACTGAGAAGATTTTGGTCTAAAACAACTAAATCCCTTCATGGTGGAGGGATACAACGAAGGGTGCTGTGCGGCAAAAGAGTCCCCAAAGAAAACGTATTTTTCCAGATTTATCATTTTTACCATCATCAAATTTCCATATTAAACTCAGAAGACTCGTGTAGGTTCACTGGTGGTTTTGTATAGTAAGTAAAATGGCTATATTTGTGTTGTAGTCATGGTGATGCCTGGTTCCTATCACTACCACTGTAAAGAAATCTGAGCCTCCACAATCAACCATTTCACACCAAACCACTCTGAATGACTCTGTTTACCTTTCAACTACTGCATTATTCAGAGTACCAGCATGTAGTAACCCAATAGACTCAGCCATTTCAGCTAACACAAGATTGTTTTTGCTGTAGTTTCTAGAGTGCCATTAGCGCCCCCTTGTGGATAATCTTGTTAAATGTGATTAAGTGAGTGAGTTACAAGCCAGGTCCATGAGGTGCTCTGCCTCTAAAAACTGGAAAACTTTCCTGTAGTCATGTTCAGTTTATAATATAATATGTTTCTCTGTGTCTTGCAGGTTATTGATTTATTGATCCAGTGATGAAGCTGATTGTGAAGCTTGTGAGCGGAGAGTGCCGCAGTGTGTGCATGAGTGGAAATGCCACGGTGGGCGAGCTGAAGCGGGTGGCCGCACAGACCTTCGACATGCCCACCTCACGTGTGCAAGTCTCCATGGGCAACGGGCTGCAGACGAGGCTGCAGAATGAGCAAACTCCACTGAGCAGCTACGGCCTCAGCTCAGGCTCCACCGTCATGCTGCTGCTGCTCGCACCTATCCAGGTGTTCGTCAAAAACGAGAAGGGCCAGGTGAAAACCTACGACGTGACCGAGGAGACGGTCGACGAGCTGCAGAGCGAGGTCTACAACAAGGAGGGCACCCCCATTGACCAGCAGAGGCTGATCTTCGGCGGCAGGCAGCTCGAAGCCGGGAAGCAGCTGAAGGAGTACGGCATCGCCAACGGAAGCACCATTCACCTGACCATCCGTCTGCGGGGATAGGGTTGCCAACTTGAAAAAACTTGAAACTGAAATAAGGAACCGTGTACCCAGTGTGACATGAAAACACAAAATCCAGAATTAGATTTTTTTGTATTTTTTTGTAACAAGGGTTTGCGTGATTATCGTAAATCATTTTATTTGGACTGTGCAAAACATTACATTATATGAATGTTAAATGTGATGCGCTTCACTTCTATAGTAAAAATAATCTATCAGTGTTGGGGAGTAGTGCACTGCATCCAATTAAACGAGAAGTTTAACTACATTTTGCAGTACCTGGTAGTTCAACTACATTCATATTTGCGTAGTGATTCAAGAAGTAAAAACACTTTTTTTGTCATTTTTAAGTACTTAACTACTAAAACTACAAACCGTTTTGGGCCATAAAAAGCTCACATTCCTCACATTTTCCCATGAATAGTGGAGTGTTCAATTTTTTTGGTTTATGTATGATCTGTGATCAAGCGGTCACTTTACAATAAACTCATTTGTGTGGCATTTTTTGCTGGCATGTGACTATTTGCATTATATTTTGTTATAATTTCGTACCACATTACATCAATGATGTTTTTTTCTTTCGCAAAGTAGTTCAAACTACTTTAAGTAGCTTTAGTTAACCATACCAGATTTCTCTCTAGGGTGGATTTGATGTAGTTCAACTTCTTCCAGTGTGAAGTAATTGGTATTTTTTAAGTAGCTTCCCCAACTCTGGTAATCTATCAACCACATTTGAGTTTAAAAAATTGATATGATTATTATACAGACCCTCAGGGCCGGAGTGGGACAGGCCGGGAGTTAACTACATGATGCAGACCAGCCCACCTTAAACTCTTAAACTCTCCAGCTACACACACAGCATTGCCTTCGTGCAACATAAGTATTTTCTAAAATCTGCATTTTCATCTTCCTCTTTTCTTCCTCTTATCTCAATTTACTATTTATATGCTACACTGAGATAAACAAGGTGGCTAAATAGTGCTAAAATGAAAACTAACTAAAGTTTTGTCTTAAAAGTGACACAATCACGACAGTCAATATGCTACAAATGATGCTGATGTTAGCTAGCAGGCTATGTAACTTAATGTCCTGTCAACATTTCTCACTGCTCACCTGCTCAGAAATCTCCCCATCCTCCTCAACTGGCTTTTTCATACCTCGGTTCTCTGCAGTTCTTGCCACTCCTGTCCATCTTCACATTATTGATACATGAAAATTGTGAAAACAATAGTTAGCTAAGTTATTAAACTCGACGGAGGTCTGTCTGCTGTGTTAGCAGCACCATGTCGTCGCGTTACATTTGATAATCTCTTGAGGCTGAAATTAGCTTCCTATTTGAATTTCCATTCCACCTTAAACAGTGTCGCATTTACACGCCGAACAGGCGTCTGAATGTACATCTGGTGGAACGGGAAATAAGAAAAAGAAGCTAATCTAAACTCTATACACTGCACGAGTTAAAGTCGGCAAAACGGGGCTGTAGAAGTTAAGGTGGGGCCTCTGGTTTAGGTCCTAAGTTACTACATTTTACATACATATATATATATATATATATATTCACTTGGATGTGGCATATATAGTTTGTCTGAATTTCAGCTTGGCTTAAATCTCATATCGTAGCAAAGCTGTTAGCGCTTCTCATTGGTCGAGAGTCTCACTCTCTGTTTGGGTTCTGAATATAACATATACAGACAGACAGGCTGAGGGAGAGCAGCAGGGTTTCCTTCTCTCTCATACAAACTGTTCAAGGATGTGGAAAGAATTTGGATGGAAATATTTGACGCTACACCTGAAATAAGGAGTGAAAAACTGGTCATCAACAACCATGCTGGAGGATGTGTGGGAGTAAAGAGGCCAATCATACACACATCCTTTGGAAATGCAATACGATGCGGTTAAAGACATTCTGGGCTAATGGGTAGTGCTGTCACCTCACAACAAGAAGGGCCTGGGTTCGATTCCCTGGCCGGGCAACCAGGATCCTTTCTGTGTGGGTTTCCTCAGGGTGCTCTGGTTTCCTCCCACAGTCCAAACACATGAAGTCAGGCCAATTGGAGATACTAAATTGCCCCTAGGTGCGAGTGTGTCTGTCCTGCGATGGACTGGCAACCTGTCCGCGGTGTTTCCTGCCTTCCGCCCAATGACCGCTCGGAGAGGCTCCAGCACCCCCGCGACCCAGGAGGATAAGCGGGTTAGATAATGTGTGTGCGTTATGGATTATGACAAATATTAAACAAGAATACTTCTGGTAGCCAGCAAAAAATCAATGAAATGTGTATAAGATGGAATCTCCTTCTATAGAACAGTGGGCAGAAATTCTAAGACAACTTTGAGTGAGAGAAAAAATATTTGCTAATAGGTGGCAAAATGGACAATATATGACATCATAGAAACACATAGGAATAAATGGACATGAATGCAAGGATACTACACTTTTAAATATGCTTATTTCATAATAATTTTGTAACCACAGACATTTTTTCCCTCCCTCTCCCTTTTCTGACTGTGACATTCCCTTATTGTACATATTCATTTACACTTAAGTGAACAAAAAGTGGCAGAAATCACCTTTCATGCACTATGAAGACTAGAAAAATTCATTTTAATGCACATTTTTTTCCTGATGGGCAGCTGTTGGCTCCAACAACCGTTGGTATGCACCATCCTTTAATCAGTCAAATAAATTATTTTTATTCAAACATTCACACAGTGGGACATTTTTTAGTAGTGTACCATCTGCAAACATGACGTACAACATAATCCTGTTTAATGCTACAACCAGTTAATGCATGTTAGCATTAGCTTTAGCATTAGCTAAAATGATTACTCCCAGTGCAACAGTCATTTAACAAAAATAATTGCAGGAAAATCATTTCTGAATTCAAATAATCTAGTAAACTCTCGTGTAGCACAAATATCTGCGGCAATCTGCCACAGACGATGATATAAAATCTATATTAGAAGGCAGTGATTCATCCATACCTGACTTAGCACAGTATCAAAGGCACAAACTGGCTTCATTAGAACTGGCCCACACTCTTAAAAAAGAGGGTTCTTCAAGGGTTCTTTAGTACAGGTTATGGTCCTATGTAGAACCATGAGTCCTCTGGTGAGAACCATGGTTCTTTGCATGGTGAAATGGTTCTTCAGATTGACGGAGAATCGTGAATGGTTCTATATAGAACCTTTTTGAAAATGGTTCCATATAGCACTATAACGGCTTTTTCTACTGTTACAATGTCAAGCTTGTGACAATAGAAGAACCATTTTCAAAATGTTGGGACACTGTGCAAAATGTAAATAAAACCAGAATGCAATGATGAGCAAATCACTTAAACCCTATATTTAATTGAAAATAGTACAAAGACAATACATTAAATGTTGAAACTGATACATTTTATTGTTTTTTGAAAAATTTATACCCATATTGAATCTGACGCCAGCAACGCGTTTGAAAAAAAAATTGGGACGGGGCAACAACAGACTGGTAAAGCTGTGTAATGCTAAAAAAATACTAGGTGCAACATCTCACAACTAAGTAGATTAATTGGCAACAGGTCAGTAACATGATTGGGTATAAAGGGAACATCCCAGAGACTCGCAGGTGGCACTGTATTAAAAACAGACTTGATTCTGTAGTTGAAATCACTGCATTGGCTCAGAAACACTTCAGAAAACCACTGTGTGTGTGCAGTTCATAACTGCATCCACCAATGCAAGTTAAAACTCTACCATTCAAAGAAGAAGCCATTTATAAACAGGATCCAGAAACGCCGCCGCCTTCTCTGGGCCCGAGCTCATTTAAGACAGACGTGGAAATGTGTTCTGGGGTCTGACTAATCAAAATTTGAAATTCCACTTCCTCTGAGCTAAAGAGGAAAAGAATCATCTGGCTTGTTATCAGTGCACAGTTCAAAAGCCAGCGTCTATGATTGTATGGGGGTGCATTAGTGACATCTGTGAAGTCACCATTGATACTGAATGATATATGCTCCCATCCAGACGCCGTATTTTTCAGATAAGGCCTTACTTATATCAGCAAGACAATGTCAAACCACACTCTGCATGAATTACAACAGCATTGCTCCGTATTAAAAGAGTCCCGGTGCTAAACTACCCACTGAGAACATCTGGCGCATTACGAAGCTAAAAATATGTGTAAGGAGACCCCAAACTGATGAGCAGCTGAAATCCTGTATCAAAAAAGAATTAGAAAACATTTCACTTTCAAAACTACAGCAGTGTCTACTCAGTTCCCAAACGCTTACAAAGTGTTGTTAAAAGAAGAAGTGATGAATCACAGTAGTTAACATGACCCCATCCCAACTTTTTTGGAACGTGTTGTTGGCATCAAATTGAAAATGGGCATATATTTCTCAAAAACAACATTTCTCAATTTCAACATTTGATATGTTGTCTTTATACTATTTTCAATCAAATATAGGATTATAAAAAAATGATTTGCACATCACTGCATTCTGTTTTTATTTACATTTTGCACAGTGTCCCAACTTTTTGGGAAACGGGGTTGTATATAGAACCACATACAACAAAGTCAAGCTGAAGAACCATTTCACCATGCAAATAACCACGGTTCTCACCATAGAACTCAGGGTTCTGTGTAGAAGCATTCTTTTTACTAAAGAACCCTTGAAGAACCATCTTTGTTCAAGAGTGTTTGCTCCCTAAACCCTACTTAGATGTCATTTCCTGACGGATGCGAGGTAGGCATACCAGAACAAGGTAATCATGTTGGCAAACAGCACCCGAAACTGCAAAGAGAGAGAAAAACAGAACAGCTCAGGTAAAATAAGGGTCATTTCCATAAATATCCCTCAGGTCAGAGGACTCATGCTCACCTGCACAGGAACGTAGTTGATGTTGATGAACTGAAACGGCGTCCAGACCTTCCAGTTCATCTTGAGTGCAGACCAGAACCGCGTTTTCATTTTGTCCTGGAGGTCTACGACGGTCTTACCCTGCAGGAATCACAGAGAGCACATTCTCACACTCAGAAGTGCTCTGTGAACAACCTGCTATGGTCAAGTTAGCTAGCCAGGAGGGGGCCACAATTCAGCTCCTCGCTCTTATAACTACAGAACTTATAATTCTCTAGCAGTTTCTGAATATTTTATAATAAATTTTTTTATGAAAAATGTATAGTCATTACTGAATAATTTATAGACATTTCTGATTTATAGCAGTTACTGAACTATTTAAGGAAATTGATGAATATTTATTTTTAAACACTGAATAATTAATAGTAAATACTTAATAATTCAAAGTAGATACTGGATAAGTTTAAAGTAGACATTGAATGAATTCACAGTAGATACTGAATGAATTTAAAGTAGATTGTGAATAATTTACAGTAATTACTGAATAATTTCTAGTAGACACTGAACAATTTACAGTAGTTACTGAATCATTTCTAGTACATCAGAATTATTTACAGTAGTTACTGAATACTTAATAGTAGATATTGAATAATTCACAGAAAATACTGAATAATGTGTAGTAGTTACTGATTTATAGTAGATGCTGAATATTTTTAGTAGATACTGAATGATTCATAGTAGATACTGAATAATTCATAGTAAATGCTGAATAATTTGTAGTAGGTACTGAATAATTTACAGCAGTTACTGAATAATTTGTAGTAGATACTGAATAATTCACAGAAAATACTGAATAATTTATAGTAGTTACTGAATAATTCGCAGTAGATCCTGAATAATTTAGAGTAGCTGCTGAATACTTCATAGTAGATACCAAATACTTTACAGTAGCTACTGAATAATTTATAGCAGATACTGAATAATTTATAGTAGATACTGAATAATTTATAGCAAACACTGAATAATTTAAAGTAGATACTGAATAATGTACAGTAGTTACTGAATAATTTATAGTAGTTACTGAATAATTCACAGTAGATACTGAATAATTTATAGTAGATGCTGAATATTTTAGTAGATACTGAATAATTCATAGTAGATACTGAATAATTCATAGTAGATGCTGAATAATTCATAGCACATACCAAATACTTTACAGTAGCTACTAAATAATTTTTAGTAGTTACTGAATAGTTTATAGTAGATACTGAATAATTTACAGTAGTTGCTGAATCATTTTTTGTAGTTATTAAATAATTCATAGTAGATACTGAATAATATATAGTACATACTGAATAATTCATAGTAGATATTGAACAATTTGAAATAGTTACTAAATATTTAAAAGTAGATACTGAATCATTTCTAGTAGTTACTAAATATTCCGAAGTAGATTTCTCTGCATTTCTCTTACATTTCAAAACGCGAGGGATACAGGTCATCTAAGCCAAAGCAGTGACCTGTACACTCTGCACTATGAGGCACCACTAAGCGAGTCCCTTCAGGCTATTTTAAACAGAAGCCAGGCATATTATGTAGGTCAGATAAACCAGGCTTCGACGTTTCTTCCTGAAAAGCCGTGCTGGGAGCCGTGTACCTCCAGAGCATTCATCACCACAAAGAACAACAGGAGGAAGGCGGGGGCGATAATCAGGCGCTCCAGCAGCAGACGCTTCAGCATGCAGTAGGGCTCCGTGGCCGGGAACAGCGCCTCCAGCAGGTGGTAGAAGTAGTGACTGACCGGACCTGTGATGACCAGCCTGCAAACACATCACATATGCACAGACTGCACAGACTGGGCGACTAATAAAGTAAAAACTGTGTAAAAGTGCAGAGATACAGGTTTATAATCCAGACCGCTCTATAACTTATACAAGTCAATGGTCACCTTACCCATACACAGCAAAACGGATGGGTCCATAGAGGTCCACCTCCTTCGCTGGACGGCCTTGTTTACGCTTTTTCTTCGACTCTAAATACTGAGAGAGGAAGTTCCCGAGCGCTGAGAGAATACCACTGCAAACAGAACAGAAACAGATCATGTTTTCGCTCATGAGTGTTCTTTCACTACAATACCCAGCATGCATTGCATGTGACGTCTCCAAGAAAACGAGCGCTGTTAGCAACACACTAGCCAGCTAAAGTAAACCTAAAACCAATCTCATTTAAAAGCAGAGCAGTGGATCGTCATTACTGTTGAGCAGCCATGTTGTTATTTTGTTATATGCAGAACAATTTCCCGACTTTCCGAGTAGAATTCCCAGCCGAGGGGGCATTTTCTGTGATTTTTCCTAGTCCGTGAGCAGAAATTGAATTATGAATTCAAACGCAGCCTAAAAATACAACCAAGCTAGCATTAACATTTTAAACAGCCTGCCATCAAAAATCCCTGAACACTTGCAGATTTTCAAAAGCTCCTCCCACCTTCAAGATATGTCATCAGAAGGGGAATTTCCTTGTCTTTAAACGGGAAAATCTTTCTAGAGGCCACCGTGACGCCTCTGTAAGACTGAAGTAGGCACGTTTACAGTGGATGTAGTGATAGTAACACTTTTCATTTTGGCCAGAGTTCGTCTTTAACTTTCATTTGGCGGGACTACAAGTCCATGTCTTGGAGGTGGGCATTTAGCTGGCTGGTTTAAGAGCGTTAAAAGGAAAAAGGACCAAAAAAAACGAGTATGAATAGTGAGAAAAGGTTCAAAGTTTTCACAAACTACCTACATTAACCTCAAGTCTTGTTTTGAGGATGTTTAATGGAGTCAGTCTGTGTGCAGCCAAGGGTTTAAACGGTTAAAACTCTGCCCCTCTATGTTGACAAGCAGGGCTTTTCACTTGAAATGGGGCGAGACTGAAAACAACAGGGGCTGATTGGCCAAAAAAGAGACCCCAGCTTCAAAAAAACCGGGCTAAGTTAAGAGTGCAAAGGTCGTTTTTAGCAAAACACGGTGGCACAGCATAAATCCACACTCAAAAGAGTTGACACTTAACAAAAAATGGCTCAAACTGAAGGAAAATAAGCTTAAAGGTGTCTATAAAGTCTAGCGAGGACTGGTTTCCCCATAGAACTGCAATGGGAGTTCAGCATCTCAGCTTGTGAACTTAAGTTTGTTAGTCCAAATCAGTCGAGAATCTACTTAAGTACGTAGAAATGGAGTTATTATAACTAGCTAGCGAAGACCCACCTGTCTGTGCACAACGTGGCTACCTGTTCGCCAGCTTCGTGTTCGAATTTTCCGTTCCACCTTAAATGGTGCAGCAGTTTCATGCGGGCGCCTCAGGCACCAGAATAGAACTGCTGCACCATTTAAGGTGGAACGGAAAATTCGAACACAAAGCTGGCGAACAGGAAGCTAACTTTGACAAATAAGTTAACTACATCGTTATTACACACTTGAACACCAAGCTGTGCGAAAAGCAGGTTGGTGATGGAGACATTTACACCTACAATAAGCGCAAAAAGCTGGAAAAGCTAGGTTAACGTTAGCTCACTAACCTAGCAGAGCACTGACCTGGTGACCGACTTGGTGATAATGGGATATTTCTTTAATAAAATCAGATACTGCTGCAGTAACCTGCCGGGGAAAGCCGGCTCTCGGACGGGGACACTTCTGACCGGCATCGTCACCTCAGTGTCCAGATAAACTAAGCTACATGTGAGCAGCAGTGAGCTCGGAGAGAAGGGTGCCGTGGGTGGCGACCGGAGAACGGGGCGCGTCCCAAACGGCGCACTCGTTCACTCGCTCCCTGCGCCCTACCGAGGAAAATCTATACAGATCGCGATCTAGAAGTGACGGGTGCGTCTCAAATCGACTCTTTATTCCATAAGTAGTGGATTTCTATAAATAGAGTGAGAAGTGGATTAAAGTCAGCGATAACTGGGGATTTAAGGTGGCAGTGGATTTAAGGTAGCAATTGATCTCCCATAATTGACTTGCTATCTCATAACTATGACTTTCTGTCTAGTAATAGTGAGATTCTGTCATAATTAGAACTTATAATCGCATGATTATGATTTGCTATCTCGCACTTATGAGTTTCTGTCATATTCTCGGAATCACAATTTAGTATCTCAATAATGGGATACGCAAAATGCCACTATGTGGCTCAATTTCAAAAAGAAGTCAGGTTTTACAGTTGCAGAAATTTATTCAGCATAATTTAAATGTGAGAAAACATTCAAAATCCATTCTTACAATCATACACACGGCAACAGGTCATCATAAAAATAGATCTCAGTGCAAATGGCTTAACGTACAATTATCATACAATGTTGTTTTACTCCTCAAACAGTACTGCACATGGGCACACTTGGCAGTGGGCTTCTCCTGAACGGGGCCGACTACTGGACAGATCACTTACTGAAGACAATATTTGGTTCTGCAGTAGTCGACACAACCCTGACCGAAGGGCTTTGACAAACAGCCCACTACACACAACAGTCATAGGATTATCTCATCTAGTCAGCTTCTCTAAGAGGACTAAAAGTGGAATCCATCAGATTTTTTTTAATTTTCTGCATAATTAAGTGGTTAAGATGTAAACAGAGTCATTCAGAGTGGTTTGGTGTGAAACGCTCCGTTCTAGACAAACCTAGTCAGAATTGTTCACAGTGGTGGTGATGGGAACCAGACGTCCACCTCTAAAAGGTCCCTCACAGCAAGTTACTACATGAAATGGTTATGAATGTGTTACCTGATGTCCCAGACATTGTTTTACCTGTACGTATGTTTAAAAATACATTCATGGTGGAGGGATACAAGCAGTGTGTTACATGGCAAAATAGTCCTCAGAGAAAACCTACTTTTTCAGATTTACAATCTATTTTACTATCATTAACATTACATGTAGTTTCTAGGCTCGTGCTGATTGACGACAGTATCGGGATACATCGTCCAGCTTTAAAACGTTCTAAAGCAGAGGGAGGCAGCACTGCGAATGCTAAGCTGGTCATGTTTGTTAAAACGATAAAGCCGTGCTGCAGCTTCCATGCTTTCAGAACATGTTTCCTTGTTGGCTTTGCTGGTTCTCAGTTCTTCAAACTGGTTCTGTCAAAATTTTAGATCTCAGTCTAATAACAGTAGGCTAGAGCAACAGTAGCCTGTAGGCTAACTTAACAAAGTAAGCTTTAACTACTTTATTATTTTGACAAGAGGCTGTAAAAGAGGCTGCCAAGAAACACAAATTGTCCCATTTTTAAGCTGCACCATGTAAGCTTTTGGGATTTGGAGACCCCTCTGGTGGAAATGTGTAATTGCACGCAACGTGTGGAAGAACACTGTGTAATGCGGGCTGTGCTTCGGACCCCTGCGCTGAGCGGATTAATGCAATGAGTGAAAGAGAACTCAGTCAAAACTGTGAAAAACGTGTCGTTGACACCTAAACATCGAGTCGGACCTTCTTTTTGAGGCTGTGCGTGTGCCGTTAACATGCAAAGACATGCGACGGGTTGTGAAAAACACTCCAGACCAGAAGCCTCGACTTTAAATGACTATTTTAGGTTTTACAGGGCAACTTATACACCATATTTAACCTGTTTTTAGTCTGACTCAGAAATGCTACATAGTGCAGCTTTAAGCAGCTTCTTTGTGGCATTACTTGCTGAAACAGGTTACTGGAGAAAGGTGTCGCTGATCGGCCCATCGCGACCCCGGTTCTGAGTCGGTAAAGTTGACAGTGAACCATTTCACATCAAAACCACTCTGAAATGATGTTGTTTACACTCAAACACTGAATTACACCAAAAATTTGGGAAAAAATAGTGGAATTCCCCTTTAAAGTTGTTTCCAGACTAGAAGTTGGCACGGGGTGGGGGAAGTCAAACACTTTAAGAACTCCACACAGTATATGTGCAAAAGTAGGTTCCCACATGCACTCACTCACTCACTCGCACTCTCAGACAAAGAGAAAAGTCCACTTGTTATTCGCTACTGCCTCAAAGGAAAGGAACGATCATCCTTCGCAGCTCTGCTAAATGATCATGACACGGTTTGATAGACAGCTGTACAGGGAAATGAACAGTGGTTAACTCTAAAATATCCCAAGGCTACTGGTCCAGATCAGGATGGTCCTTGAAAGACTGATGTCCGAAGTCATTCCACCAACACTGAGTACCAACATCACCAAAGCAGGCTGGTTTGTCGTCGTTTAACATTACTACTGCATGCTAACGCACACAATTCATTAGCAGCTAGAAATCGTGGGCTGTTTTTTTAAAAAAAATATTGCAGCAAAATGAACATCTACTAAATCGACTTAACATTTGATGGGGAATTCCACCGATTTTCCCAAAATTTCAGCATAATTAATTGGTTAAGATGTAAAGTCAGGCTTGTTCACAGTGGTGGTGATAGGAACCAAATGTGCACCTCTTAAAGCTCCCTCACAGAAAGTTATTACATGAGATGGTTATAAAGATGCTGCATGATTTCTAAGACACTGTGACAACTTTGGTCTAAAACATATTTTTTAATTCCATTCATGGTGGAGGGATACATGTAAGGTGTTATGAGGTAAAATAGTCCTCAAACTTATTTCTATTTTACCTTCATCAACATTACACTGGTGGTTTTGGATAGTGAATAAAATGGCTATGTTTGTGTTGTAGTCATGGCGACCCCTGGTTCCTATCACCACCACTGCAAAGACCATTTCACACCAAACCGCTCTGAACGACTTCACATCTCAATCACTTGATTATGCAGAAATTTTGAAAAATCGGTGGAATTTCCCTTGTTCAGCTGTCTTTCTGCTCTGATGCGCTTCACCAAGCCCACAAACTTGAGGAAATTCTGGGGTCCTACGTAACAAAAGGAGGTGGCTGGGTAAACACCATGAAAGCAGACCAAGGTCTCTGCACTGTGAACACTGAGGAGGAGCTCCGAGTTGGTGCTCATTTGGTGCACAAGGTCTCCCTATTAATCTCCCTATTTCTATCCGAAAAAAAAACACAAGCTGCAGCATGAGGCCTCATTTCTTCCTTCAGAAACAGTTTTTAAATCAGCTCCTTGACAGATCGCAGCCCACAGGGCAGCGCCTCGTTTTGGTACGACTATTCCGGGCAGCACGCGCAGTAAAGGCGGCCAATCGGCAGGTCTGCAGCTACTCCTCTGCGAGCAGGCCGGGTCGGCCCCGCACGCGCTCGTAGAACAGCAGGTACGCGCTGGAGGAGAGCGCCTCCTGCAGGCTGGCTTTGCGCACCGCGTCGTCCGACACCCACAGCCACTGGGGACTGAAGGGGGAGGGGCTGCGGGGGGAGGGCGATCCGCGGCGGTACGTGATGAAGTGGCCCGAGTGCATGTCTCCATGGTGCACCAGCACAGCGGTCAACCGGAACAGGTACTCCGACGAGCTGGAGGAACAGGAGAGCAGTCGACTTTAGTATCAGTTTTATTAGTTACAGTTTTATTCGTTTTATTAGTAACAACTGAGACATAAATAATAAAGTCAAACTGTTTTGATATCAATAGCGCACATTTGACTTATTTTCAACTCCTCAACCCACGAACACACAATCTTTAATAAGCTAAAACTACTGTTTAACAAAAAGCTAGCAGTGAAATAAATAGTATTTTGGATAAAACTTTACTTTTTGCCTTTTTTTTTTAATTCAGACAGTCTTGGAGTGAATTTCCTGTCAAATCTTAAATAAGCAGAAAATTATGATGCATTTAAGCTTGCAACTTAGCTGAGCGTGGTCCACTGTTGTGCTAACTTAGCACTGCAAAACTCACAAAAGCTTTAGTACAAAACCAGTAAAGCAACTAAAAAGCAAATAAAAAATGAAAATAAATAAATTAGAAAACTAAACTAAAACTTCCTTTTCAGAAAATAAAAATTATTCATGCACTATTACAGAAAACTGAAACAAAACTTCAAAACTAAAACATGCCTGGTGGCCATGTGTGCCTTTTATTGGCTAAACAAGGAGGAAGTCTAGCCATTCACTCACAACAGCACAAACCAGGAGATCCGTTAGCAGAGTTGGTCAGCCAACTACACAGATATTTACATATACAGTCATATGCAAAAGTTTGAACATCTCAAGTCAAATTACATGTTTTGAAAGTGAAAATAAATTAACACATTATCTACAGGGAGCAAACGTAAATGTGGCATTTTCTACAAATTTCAGTGCAGTACTTATATTTATTTGCTGACTTTTACATATTGAGAAAAAATACAGCATAATATATGTTCTCTGTAGAGGACATGGCAACTTATTTTCACTTATAAAATCAACAAAACATGTCTTTTGACCAAGTGCGACCAAACTTTTGAAAAAACAGAATATTCTTAATATGTTACACCGAAATAAACCTTTTGTGTTCTTTAGGTTTGCCCATTGCCTATAATAATAATTGACAATTTTCTATTCAACTGGGAGGGATAAGATTTTGGGCCATACATCCCAGACATAATATAAAATATAAAATATCTCCCAATAACAACTGTTCATGTGGCACATTATGAAAGTGTTTCTTCCAGATTAAGACAAAATGTAATTAACACTAGCACTAACAAGAACTGCCTGTTGGGTCTCTACTGCGCCATGTAACAGTCTGAATTACCTGTAGTCATACGTGAGGTTGAGCTGAGGACCGAGTCCAGGAGAACGGATGAAGACAGATGAGAAGGCTCCGTTTGTGAGAGGTTTGTTGTTGTTGTGGTGCTCTGGGTCTAAAAGTAAATCAGAGTTCAACGATAAATTTTAAAAAATGAATTGAACAGACACAGTTTACCATGAATCTCTGTACCCACCCTAATCAAAATGGAGGGCAACAGCATGTTAGCCAAAGACCGTCTGCACTACATGCTGCGAAGTATCTAAACAGAGTGAATATTGATATTTAAGGTCCACTCAATCTCCATAAAAAAGCACTGACCAATAGAATGGGACGCTCCGGAGCTGCTTTACATGCCAAATGCCAAGTGTTAACTAGAGCAGTGTCTCAGCTCTGGTCCTGGATGCCCACTGCACCGCACTTTGTAGTGTGAGACACCTGATTCAACCAATCAGCTCAAAAATAGTCCATTATTGAGTTAAAGTGGCTGTGTTAAAGCAGGAAAAGCACTTAAAAGTGCAGGGCAGCGGGCCTCCAGAACCAGAAACACTGGGCTAGAGGGGCCTAAAGCCCCCCAGCACAGGGCTGTGGAGCAGTGGAACTTTTTCTAAGGCATCGCAGAAACATCCCGCTTTGGCATAAAGTACAAAATAAACTCAAGTTTTCGCCGTCTCTTTCGCCGACGCTCACCGACGCCGTTGGCGATGGCCTGGTCATGCGTGTCTCCTGGCGCGTCGCTGCTGCTGGGTTTATTGGCTCTGCTGGGCTTCTGGAGCCTCTGAGCTGCACTGCAGTGTTTATAACGGTCCATACTCAGATACTCAGAGAACTGAACATGCTCCTGTCTCTTTATCGGAGTGCCCTCAGTGGACCACGTCAGCCTCTGCAGGTGGATGCACAGACACTGTGGAAGCTGGAGAGGATCACACACGTGCACACGTGCGCACACACACACACACACACACACACACACACACACACACACACACAAACATACAGAAAACACAGAATATGGTAAATCAGACACATGGGCTTTTACCAGGACCACTCAACATAAAGGAATACTCAGTGTTTTTTAAGCTAGTCTGTATCGTACAGTCAATTACTGTAATAATACTACTGTAATTGAAAAAGAAGCACATAGAGATTAGGTTAAAAAAATAATAATAATAATAATAAAACAATAATAAGTGTAATGATAATAGTAGTAGCAGTAGATCATAGTAGATACCAAATAATTCATAGTAGACAGTGAATAAATTATAGGACATACTAAATAATATATAGCAAATACTGAGTAATTTTACATTCGTTCATTAAATAATTCATTGAATTTATTGAATAATTTCTCATAGTTTCTGAATAATTCACAGATGTTACTGAATGATACGCAGCAGATGCAGAACTATTTAAAGAATTGAGAATAATTCACAGCAGTAACTCAAGAGAAGAGTAGACACTCAATAATTTGCAGTAATTATTAAGTAACTCATAGTAGTTATTTAACAATAAATCTTAAGATTAAACACTGAATTATAACTCCGCAGTTTAAAGGGTTAAATGGGACTCAGAGGATCCAGATTACGCAATGAATGAAAGTCCTGATTTAGAGCTGAACAGACTAGACTGACCCGAGCAGACGAGAGCATTTAAGAGGCACTCTTTACTCTAAATGTGTCACAGGTTGACCGTCACCCAGTTGGCACAGAGCAGACAGACCCAGAATAGTTTGTTGTGAATGGAGAGAACTAAGAGGCACATCCACCTTTCCGAGCTTAAGCTGCTTAACGAACGTCGTCCTCTGGCTCTCAACGACCTGTCCATTCACCACCTCGCCGGCCTGCGTCTGCACACGCACGACGGAAAAAAGAGCTTTGTTTCACATACAGCAGACAAAAATACACATAAATACATTTAACAGAAAAACAGTGATATAATGATGCCACCATAATGCGATGCACATTGAAACATATTAGAGCCACATTTGAGCTGTTTCATATCCTTGTAACTCGTTTTTATCCCTTAAAATTAAACCGCCTGTCTTTGTTGTTGCCTTCAAGACTGATAGATGTCAATGAGCTCTGTTCTGATTGGCTGCCCCATATTGCACCTCATTCAAAAAGCACTTGGGGCTGAAACACTCCTTATAACTTCAGTGTGAGTGGGCGTGGCTAAACTGCTGTAGGCTGAATAAGTGGATGTGTGTACATGAGTTGTTTTTAGCGACATCACAAAAACTGGAATTGAAAACGGGCAGTTTTTGCACTTTCCTTATACGGACTATATGGCCTATATGGGGAGAGAATAGCATGCTGCGAAACATTAACAGTGTTTATGTACTGCATTAAACTGTTTCATTGCAAAGTAAGTGAGGTTTTCCAATGATAAGGACCCTTTAAACTCAGGAGTAACTCGAAAAAGAGCTGAACAGAAGGAGCAGTGACGTCTCGGTTTAGAGGTGGCTGTCCAGTGGTTGTTTTTCACCCCACATGCAGAACAGCAGAGGGAAGAGTCACAGAAGTGGGAGGGGTTTAGAGTGTCGATTGTGACAGAGATACTGAATCGATTTGAGCAGATATAGACCTGTTTTAAATGTGTGTTGGTTGCATTTCCACCTGCATTTTATTGTGGATAATCTCCAATTCTGATACTTCATCAGGTGTAATTGGGTCATAGTGTATTTTGTGTTTACTCAGCGAATCAGACTGGTAGCTTACCTTGGTGCAGTTTTCACACTCCACCTCCTTAATGGTTTCAGAAGAGATGAAATGCTGAAGACACTGATCCAGAGTGACCGGCCGACCCTGGAGGACAAACCACTGCTATCATATCTGATTTAAGTGGTATAACTAGCCTATAGGCAGCTTGAATGCATTAAAGACACCAATTTTTTTTTTTACATTTCTGCAAAATTCAATGGTTAAGATGTAAACAGTCATTCAGAGTGGTTTGGTGTCAAATGCTCCATTCTAGAGAAGTCAGAATTGTTCACAGTGGTGGTGATAGGAACCAGACGTCCGCCTCTGAAAGCTCCCTCACAGACAGTTATTACATGAAATGGTTATGAATTCACTCCCTGATGTCTGAGACACTGTTTTAGGATAGTTTTGAAAAAGACGCAAGCAAAACAATCTCCAAGAAAACATATTTTTTCAGATTTTTCACTATTTTACCACCAACATTCCATATAAAAGCTCAGAAGACACGTGTAGGTTCACTGGTGGTTTCACTAAGTTTCTTTACGATGGACCATTTCACATCAAACCACTCTGAACCACCGAATTTTTGCAAAATTTTTAAAAACTGGTGAAGTTACCCTTTAAAACTACAAGCAAAACAAGTTTTCCACTTACCCTAGATGTAGCTGATATAATATATATGGTAAACATATGCCTAAACTTCTCTCAACTAGCGTCCAGGTCCTCATTAAGGCGGCAGAGACCTGTTGGTTTAGGACACAGCATAGCTTGGACCTGGATGCTGGATGTGAAGTTTTAGGGGCACAATTGTAAAAAAGATGTGAGTTCTAGTGTTTGAAAGACACCAAACTCAGCTGATCTGAGCTGATCGACTACATCTGGGGTGAGTGGAAGATCGTGAGTACGATTTTTCACTAAGCCATTCCTTTAAGGCCAAAACATACGAGATGCTTCACGCACGTGACCACAGGTCTGCTTTGCTTACCCACTGAACGGCAGGAATGGACAGAGAGAGGCTGTCGAACGAATCGTAACGCACTGGACTCTGCAAACGACAACGCAGCATGTTTAATAACCTTATATAAACATGCTTTAACAAACAAGGTTTATCACCACACTGACATTTTTAAAATACTTTGCAGTATTTCCTTTAAAAGCTATTCATTCACCCAAATTCACTCCTGACTTTGACTCATTATTCTCAGAGTCACATTTAAGCATGATAAACACTGCACTGATGTAATCTCTCCTAATCTGTGGGAGGTGAATCTCAGGAGAATATAAACTGTGTTAAATACCTGCCGCTCACAGCGTTTACAGGCCATGTAGCTGGTTAGGCGTCCATGGAAAGGATGCTGAGTCCTCCAGAGGCTGGGGATAGGGTGCAGCGGTCCTGACAACACAAGGAAAGAAAAACACACGTTAGCCACATTAGTGCTTTAGATTAAACTGTGATGCTAACAGAGTTCAGCTAATTTTAGAGGAACAATTAGGAGAAAATGAAATTCTCACCATTCTTCTCCCTCCTTATGTAGTCGATCAGCCAGGACGTGTTTGGTGTCTGAGGTTCGCTTATTTAGCTTTGCACTGGAGCTACAAAGCTAATGTAGCTAACAAGCAATGGAGGTGTATAGACACCAGGTTAGCATGCCTGAATAGTCACACATTCGCTTACGTGGTTACATGGTAGCTATGGTATTCCAGGTGGTTGCCTGGGTATTGCTACATGGTAGCTATGGCATTCCAGGTGGTTGCCTGGGTATTGCTACATGGTAGCTATGGTATTCCAGGTGATTACCTGGGTATTGCTACATGGTAGCTATGGTATTCCAGGTGATTGCCTGGGTATTACTACATGGTAGCTATGGTATTCCAGGTGGTTGCCTGGGTATTGCTACATGGTTGCTATGGTATTCCAGGTGGTTGCCTGGGTATTGCTACATGGTTGCTATGGTATTCCAGGTGGTTGCCTGGGTATTGCTACATAGTTGCTATGGTATTCAAGGTGGTTGCCTGGGTATTGCTACATAGTTGCTATGGTATTCAAGGTGGTTGCCTGGGTATTGCTATCTAGATGCTATGCTATTCAAGGTGATTGCCTGGGTATCGCTACATGGGTGCTACCGTATTCCAGGTGCTTGCGAGGGAGTTGCCAGGTGCTTTGCAATGCGCAATCACTAATTTAAAGACAATGTTGTCTTACGGTTTAGGTGGGCCTGGATCTTTAATTAATAGGAAATACGCACAATTTAAATCACAGTCGCAATACTGATAAGAACCATCACAACAAGATATTGTCCCAAAATCGTTCAGCCCTAGCCTCATAGCTCCTAAAGAAGCAAACATCAGACACCAAACATGTCTTGAGGGATCAAATACATTTGCAATAATGGGGGAAAACCTAAAATCTAAACTAAATGAGCTAAAAGTCCAGAGCTCACCTCGACTCCTGCAGCTTATTGTTTCTTCACTGGACTCCACAGACTTCTGCAACAGCAAACATCAACTGTGAGTGAGTTTTCCCACAATAGGCAAATTACTGGCAGGTGTTTAGAGAATGAAACAATGGCCTTGTGTGACAGACGGCGTAAGTAATCAGACTGCAGTGACTGTGTTCAGGTTTTACCTCCAGCGTTTCCATGTCAAACAGGTGAGTGACTTTGGGTCGCCGGTCACGCTCCTCCTCCAGAGAGGAGGTGAGGACGTGAAATAGTTCATGAGCGTCCTGAGGACAGAAAAATAAATAAATAAATAAATCCCATATGCACAGAAACCATGAATGTACCACTATGTGTTCAACTGTATATCACTAATCTATATATATACACACAAGACTGCAAAAATCAGAGAGCACCTTTTCACGTATTTAATTTCTAGTCAAAACTGCCATTAAGTATAAAATATTCATTTTTCAGCATCAGGAAAAACATATTTAACAGAAAATAACATAGAAGCTTCAATAACTAAATATATTTTACACAACTCCCCCTCTTATCCCAGATACAATCGATTAGCCAAGACATGTAATGCTGTAATTTTAGCACTGGAAGCTATAAGGCTTCCATTTTCGGTGACACAGACTTCCATTACTTGCTAGCTGCATTAGCTTCATAGCTCCAGTGCTAAAACAAAAGATGTATTGGATGACTGCAAACATTTGAAGTAAGGGGAAACCATCAGTACACTAGGTGGCGCCGTCTCTCACTCTCTCAGACAAAGAGGAGAAGTCTAGCTGTTCACTCACAACAGCATAAACCAGCAGAACACTTAGCAGAGTTAGCTAACGTCAGCTGTGTTCAGGCCTTTTTCAGGATTTAGTCTGTCCACTCTTCATTTTTATTCCAGCTTCCATTCTTTTCAGGAGACTCGCTTTAGGGATATTTTTCTACACCTCCAAAGTTCAGTCTTAGAAGTTGGTTGCTGAGTCATCTTACATAGCAAAAGGATGGACAGAAACACCTGTGGATGTTTTCAGATCTGAAGCAGCTTGATTTTCTCCTCTCTCTCAAAGATGAAAGCTTTAGGTGCTGTTTATCTGATGGGGGAAGTTTTGGTGTCTACTAGGTCTTCCAGGTGGTTGTTAGGAATCCCACTTTCTCTGTAGCTTTAATCCTTTTTTGAACGCGTTTTAGACACTCCTGTTTTTCACTTAATTTTCTTTGACCTTCTCTTTCATTATGCAAATGGATTAACCTGTCTATCTCTATATTGATCTCCTGAATAATGAAGAAGTTGCAACAAATGGCTGTTTTCACTGGAAATTGAATAAAGGGAAAGGATTCTCAATGTTTTATCATTAATAAAACAAGGGTAATGACCTTAAACTGAATTAATTACAATTATTTAAAATACTACTGCTTCACTGTGAATTGCATAGTTGGGTTTGAATAGATTACTTTAATATGATTCCCACTGTATTTTTTAAAAATACTGCTCATATGTGACGAGAGGAACTATTTACACAGTCCATGTTTCTATCACACTTCATATCAAGAGAAGAACAAAATTCACCTGTTCCTCAAAGGAGCTAATGTGCCATCTGTGCAAACGAAGAGCTTCTAACAGGCATCCAGCGTCCAGCACATCGTCCTCCACAGGCTCGTGGCTGGACAGAGCTGAACAGCAAAAGGAAGACAAAGAACAAGAGTGGATTTAAGTGCTCATTTTACAACCTCTCTTTATCCCTTAGAATCAAACAGGCCGTTTTTATTACTGACTAATCAACTACTAACTAATCAAAATCCAGGAGATGTTTTAAACCCAGACAGAAGTGACTACATTTAATTTAATCAAATTTAATTAATTTGCCTTTTAAATATGATAAGTGACCAGGGACAAAAATAACATGGCACACAAGCCCATTAAACTAGAGAGAGAGATTAGTGACGGATATCCGAAGACGGACTGCCAGCGCAGCTGTAGACCTGACACACACAGACAGACAGGCTGTACCTTTAAGCAGCTGCAGCAGGGTTCTAGACAGCCGAGTGTCCATCTCTGGCCTGGCTAGACTGACGCTGCTCTGGCTAAAGTCTTCCAGCCATCTGATGAAGGACGGGCAGGCGGCCAGGCCCTGCAGCAGCGAGTTCATGAAGCAAGTGTTGCCCAGGTTCAGGAGCCCGGGCACCATACCTACCGAGAACACCACAAACCAACGGTTAGTGGTTTCAGGTTCCACAGAAACTGCCGCAAGAACAATGGCTGGGTTCTTTACCTCTCCGCTTCTTCTTCCTGTCTGTGATTGGGCCCCAAAGGACGTACACCCCTGCGGCCATGGCTGCGGCTATCCCACCGATCACGCCCCAGTTTTTTATCATCTTATTCCTGCAGACACAACAGAGCAGACGACTGATTTTCTCCCAAACATAAACTGTACTTGTTATTCTGTTACCCTGTTAATGTCCATATGTGGACTATTAAAGGGCCAATATCGTGGAAAACCACAATTTCCTGCCTTTTGTGAAAGACAGATTAATTTTTAAGCAATTATCAGCCAATACTGACATAATTCTGATATTTTTTCCTACTACATTTACATGTTGGACATCAATGGGTTAAACAACAGTTATATAACATTACAACCTACAAAAACACCTGTTATATACATAACCAGCTTATATCACCAAAACTCAGGCTTAAATCTTTTACTTAATTTAGTAAATCAGCCTAAAACTATCTTAAAGTGAAAATACTGTTATTTTAAATAGATAATGACTAAACCCTAAACCTATTCTTACCCTTTTGGTACCATTTTAGTCTAAAGTACATGGCTAAATCTCATCTGATCCATCAGAAGTGCACTTAAAGAGCCCATATCATTGAAGACTCAACGTTCCTCCCCTTTTAAAATAAAAGACTTTAACGCAGGATGTAAACACTGTTAAAGTTTCAAAACCATTCACTTCCTGCTCATACAGCCCACATAAGGAGACTAACTGTTTGAATTTAGTTTTTGTGATGTCACAGTTTAGCCCCGCCCACTCACACTGAAGTTATGAGGAGTGTTTCAGCCTTCAGACTGCTTTCTGAATGAGGCGTAACAGCACAGCCAATCAGGCAGAGCGCATTTACATATGTATCAGTCTTAAAGGTACAGCAAGTAAAAAAAAACAGCTAATTTTAAAGGATAAAAAGGAAAAATGAATCATGACTGTTTCGGAGTACAGACAGTCACATGAACGTCACAAGTGAACCTGAAGAAAAACAATAATAAAATACATGAAAACTGTAGGATGTGGGCTCTTTAAGTACACAGAACTAAGTTAGTTAAACTAGCCACTAAGTTAGTCGCCTCCCTTTGGGCTGAGTATTAATGTCACCCAGCCTAATCTGCTGTAAACAAAGACAAACTGTTTAACATAAATGCTAATTTCTCTAAACCAACACTAGGCAGTGTATTTAGAGAACCACAGCCAGACATTTGTTATGTTTACTGTATTATTCGCCAGCTTCTTATTCCAATTTCCCCGTTCCACCTTAAATGGCGCCGCAGTTACACTGAGGCGACCTGGACGCCTGAATGTTACTGGCACCATTTAAGGTGGAACGGAAAATTCGAACAAGGAGCTGGCGAATAGGAAGCTGACTTCAGCCTCGTCTAAATAAAGACCCCCAACGCGTTATCTGATGTTTTAATGGTCTCCAACGGTCAGTAAGGTTATGAACTAAAAGCCAGCAGTGTTTGTGTAGCCGGCTGACCCAAATCTCCCCGTCGTGTCTGAACTGAGCCGTGTTAGCGCGGCTCGGTTAGCTCCGTTCGCTCCGGCTCTGAGTACTAAAGACAAAACAAAACCACCCCGCTTTAAAAAACGCTTCTTCGTCTCACATACCGACCTGGCGGAGGACCCTGAGCGCAGAAACTCCCGGACCAGCTCGTCTGCGGCCTGCTGTCTGCACCAGGGCATCTTCCTCCGCACGGCGGAACTGTAAACACGCTGCACGCTTGTTGCTCTACGGACCTCCTGCGCGTTGACGACACGGCTGGGTCGCGTTCCAATACGCGCACTTGAATTCAAGAGTGTGCACTGGCGTTCTAGATCACTTGGCTAATGCGCACTTGCTTTCAAGTGCTCCTAGCTAGGAGGCACGTTCAGCTGGTGTACACTCGTATTCTACACTCTAAAAAATGATGGTTCTTCAAGGGTTCTTTAATAAAGGGAACGGTTCTGTTTAGAACCTAGAACCATTCCATGCTTAAATGGTTCTTCAGATTGATAGAGAATGTGTTGGATACAGTTCTACATAGTACCCTTTTGTGAATGGTTCTATATAGCACCAAAAAGGGTTCCTCTATTTTTATAAGCTTGATGCTGTAACAGTAGAACAACCCTTTTTGGTGCTATACAGAACCATTTTCAAGGTTCTACACAGAATCACATGCAACACATCAATCTGATATATTACTAAAGCATGAAATGGTTCTGTATAGAACTTGTTACTCTGAACAGAATCATTCCCTTTACTAAAGAACCCTTGAAAAACCATCTCTTTTTAGAACCTCAGTTAATGGCTTCTTTACAAACACTGAAGTCTCTGCTAAAACCTGAGTAGACTGATCAATCAATGTGATGATCAGTTATTAATCTCAGTGTTACTGAGCTCTGCTAAAGCCTGAGTAGACTGATCAATCAATGTGATGATCAGTTATTAATCTCAGTGTTACTGAGCTCTGCTAAAGCCTGAGTAGACTGATCAATCAATGTGATGATCAGTTATTAATCTCAGTGTTAGTGAGCTCTGCTAAAGCCTGAGTAGACTGATAAATCAATGTGATCAGTTATTAATCTCAGTGTTACTGAGCTCTGCTAAAGCCTGAGTAGACTGATAAACCAATGTGATGATCAGTTATTAATCTCAGTGTTACTGAGCTCTGCTAAAGCCTGAGTAGACTGATCAATCAGTGTGATCAGTTATTAATCTGTGTTACTGAGCTCCGCTAAAGCCTGAGTGGACTGATAAATCAATGTGGTGATCAGTTATTAATCTCAGTGTTACTGAGCTCTGCTAAAGCCTGAGTAGACTGATAAACCAATGTGATGATCAGTTATTAATCTCAGTGTTACTGAGCTCTGCTAAAGCCTGAGTAGACTGATCAATCAGTGTGATCAGTTATTAATCTGTGTTACTGAGCTCCGCTAAAGCCTGAGTGGACTGATAAATCAATGTGGTGATCAGTTATTAATCTCAGTGTTACTGAGCTCTTTTTAAAGACTGATCAAACTAATATTAGCATGTTTGTCTAGGCAAAAACCTTTTAACATTTCTTCCCCACTGTCTATAAATAAGCACATAAAAGAGAGATTGATATGAAATCAGTCTGAAAATTGTGTTTTTGTCTTCATTTTGGTGATTCTACTGTTTATTTTAGATGAGTTAGCCACCCTGCTAACTGCGATGTTAGCTCACTGGCTAACCCCAGCTGCACCAAACTGACTGCACTGCCACCAACCCCAACTGATTATCCTCATTATTTGCTGCAGACCAAAGTACAGCACTATAGTGTCACAAATAAATAATTATGTACAACCCCATTTCCAAAAAATTGGGACGCTTTTCAGAATGTAAAAAAAAAGAATGCAATGATGTGCAAATCATGTAAACCATATATTTTAAGGAAAATACTAAAAAGACAACGCATCAAATGCGGAAAATGAGACATTTTATTGCTTTTTGAAAAATCTATGCCCATTTTGAATTTGATGCCAACAACACGTTCCAAAAAAGTTGGGACGGGGGCCTGTTTACCACTGTGCTTCAGCACTTCTTCTTTAACAAGACTCAGACTCTTTTAATACGGAGCAATGCTGTTGTAATACATGCAGATTGTGGTTTGGCATCGTCTTGCTGAAATAAGCAGTCGTCTAGATGGCAGCATATGCCTTCACAGATGTGCACGTCACCCATGCCATGTGCAGTAATGCACCCCTATACCATCATGAATACTGGCTTTTGAACTGTGCACTGATAACAAGCTGAGTGGTCTTTATCCCAGAGGACACAGTGTCCATGATTTACAAAAAGAATTTTAAATGTTGATTCGTCAGACCACGGAGCACTTTTCCACTTCCCCTCAATCCATTTTAAATGAGCTCGGGCCCAGAGAAGGTGGCAGTGTTTCTGGATCCTATTTATATCTGGTTTCTTCTTTGCGTTTTAGAGTTTTAACTTGCATTTGTGGATATAGTGATGAACTGTTTTCACAGACAGTGGTTTTCAGATGTGTTTCTGAGCCCATGCAGTGATCTCCACTACAGAATCATGTCTGTTTTTAATGCAGTGCTGCCTGAGGGCCCAAAGATAACACCAGCAAATACTGATTTTCGGCCTTGTCCCTTGCATACAGAGACCTTTAATGTTATTATGTACCATAGATGATGAAAAGCAAAAGTTATTTGCTATTTTACGTTAAGAAGCGTTGTTCTCTTATTATTTGCTTTTCACAGAGTGGTGAACCCCTCCTCATCTTTACTTCTGAAAGACTCTCTGAGATGTTCTTTTATACCCAATCATGTTACTGACCTGTTCCCAATTAACCACCATGTGTTTTTTTTAACATTACACAACTTTACCAGCCTTTTGTTGCCCCTGCCCCAACTTTTTTGGAACGTGTTGTTGGCATCAAATCCAAAATGGTCAAATATTTTTCAAAAAACAATAAAATTTCTCAGTTTCAACATTTGATTTGTTGTCTTTGTACTATTTTTTATATGGGGTTGTAATTATGTATATATACTTTTGTGTTTTTACGATCTGCAGTAGGCGAGTTAGCCAGCTTGCTAACTGCTACATTAGCTCCTCCTCGGCTACACACAAGTCTGTCACTGTTGCCAACCGCACCGGTCATCTACACACCGCTCTGCTCCCACAAGTATATAATTATCTTCACTTTTTACTGTTTGTGGCTAGACAGTTAGCTAGCTTGCTAACTGCAACAGAAAAGGATTCTTGTCACCAGTCCTCTGGACCACTCTCAGTCACCCGTTTCACTGCAAATGTCTAGTGTGACAGCAGCTGTTCGGTACGTAAAACCACACAAATGCTATAAATGGACCTCGGGGAGGCGGCGGAGGGGATGCAGTGTTAGGAAAATGTAAGCTATGAGCCTTTTAAGAGTGTTTCTCACAGACAGAGCCCTTTAGAGGCGGTGGGGTGAGCACAGTTTGCCATCATCAAAGTTTTTGGCCTGGTGGGTGCTGCCACGTAGCCTGCTGAGATCAGACAGCAGCAGCTGAAAAAGCAAGAGGCTGATCAAAACCATTTTGTCTCCACTAAAACTCACTGCACTATGTAGGCCATGAAGCCAGTGGCTTCTACAGCCAAATATAATGTATTAAGCATTCGGCCTGTCTTAGAGGCTCAGCATGTCCTCTAGTGGCCTCAGACTGTAAATACACTGTAATTACACTCATTACTAATGATCAGAAACAGGCCAGGTCACATTATTCACCTGTGGTTAATGTATTCCCGAATGCACAGGATGGAAGATGAGCTGGGGGTACAGCATAATGAAACAGGCTGAATCTCAAACAGCTCATCCTCCCTATCTAGTGCGCTAGGTAAGTTCTAAAACCCTAGCATCTACACTTAAATTGTTCATTATTTCTCCAGTATGGAATTGTGCACACATGGCTCAATCCCAAATGGCTATTTGTTAGACTTATTATGCACAGTTTGGCTGCAGGAGCCAATATTTAGATTCCTACTTATTGCACTATGTAGGGAACAGGGAGCAATTTGAGATCCAGCCAAGGAGTTTGCTGTTGGTCACTAACACAGCTGACTTAAAGAGGCACTCCGGCCTCAAACTAGCATTTAATATGTTATTGGTAGCGTTATGTAAAGCACTGTAGTGAAGTAGTTTATCTCTCAGCCTCATCTGTTTGACAAAATTCATGATTTTGTATCGTGTCTTTGTCCACCAAGTTTCTCTCACTGCAATAATCAGCATGCATTTCACAAATATGTCATAGGGAATCTCACCCATAGTGACAAAGAAATGATGGCTAATGAATACAGATCAGATAATCAGCTTCCTATTGGTAACTGTCTGGCTCCCTTCTGCATTGGCCAGCTAAGGGAAAACAAAAGCTCCTCCAGCTACATCATGGCATTTTTCTGTTCTTTAAACTGTTTAAATTTGAGACTTCTAGAGAATAAGGAGGCTTATTCTGCACTGAAGGAAGACGCTGATAGGCACATTTACAGCAGACGTAGCTTTACCTTGACTGTGTTCATCTTGACTTTAAGTGGTGAACTTTAAGTATCATAAGTTTTATGATAGTTTTGTGATAAAGTTTTGGATTAAAGTGTATTTAATTTAATCCACTCACTGTGGAGGAGTACATGCAGGGCGTTTTAAGGCAAAAGAGTTTCCAAAGAAAACATTTTTTTCCAGATTTATCATTATTTTACCATCATCTACATTACATATAAGAACCCTGAAGACTCGTGTAGGTTCACTGGTGGTTTGAATAGTAAATAAAATGTCTATATCTGTGCTGTAGTCATGGTGACGCCTGGTTCCTATCACCACCACTCTGAAGACATCTGAGTCTCTACAATCAACCATTTCACACCAAACCACTCTGAATGACTCTGTTTACATCTTAACCACCGAAATGTTCAGACATTTTGAAAAATCGATTAAGTTCCCCTTTAAAGTTGCTGCTTCTTTAATCTTGGAAAAGCAGTGGGCCAATCAGAGCAGCGATTTGTTTTCCGAGTCGGCCCAAAATCATATTAACCAATCAGAGCAGCGGTTTGTAGAAACTAACCAATCAGAGCGCGCGATGTGGGCGTTCCTCTCCCCCATTCCCACCCCCCACCCGCTGGGAAACCTCGACGACTAATCAAAGCAGCGATTTGCAAGAACGGGCCAATCAGATGGCGGGATGTGGGCATTGTCTTAGCGTGTGAGAGCGGCTCGGCCAATCAGAGGTGCGATTTCGGAAAACGGACCAATCAGAGCGGCGCTCCTCTCCGTCAGAAATCTTCTGATCCGACTTCAGATTGAGAGAGAGAGTTCAAGATGGCCGCCTCAGGTGAGTATTTACTTCAGAAACAAAACAGCAAAGTGGGGGAAAAAGAACGGCTTTCCGTTAAACACGGGCCGTTTAACGGGCGGGTCAGTCGGGTAGGGGTGTCCGTGAGCGTCTGGGCTCGGGTGGGGTTGCGCCGCTGTCCGTCCGCGGTGAGGAGGATGTTTGTAGCGGTAGTTTCCAAACCTACAGAAGCAGCAGAGCTAACTGCAGTTAGCCTGTTAGCTCGGCGGCGGAGTGCAGCCTAATCCCTTTTCCGCCTCACTCGCTCGGCGACACGGCGCTGTCGGTGTCTCCTCCACACCCGGGCTGACCCCGCGCCGAGCTCCGCGGGCTCCCCCGGCCCCCCGGCTCCGAGCGCTGCTCTTTCCCGGCGAGAAGTTAGATTCCCCCCCCCCCTGCCGAAACGGGCCTGGGCTAACAGGCTGAGTCTGTACGTTACAGCTTTGAAGACACTCTGTAGTTAAAGGGGAACTCCACCGGTTTTTCAAAAGTTCTGAGTAATTCAGTCCTTGAGGTGTAAACGGAGTCATTCAGGCTGGTTTGACGTGAAGTGGCTCGCTGTAGAGAAACCTGCCGAGTCAGAATCGCTCACAGTGGCGGTGATAGGAACCAGACGTCAATCACTACAAGCTCCCCAGAAAGTCATTACACAAAATGGTTATGGATTCGCTGCCTGTGACTGAGACGCTGTTTCACGATAGTTTCGTGATAAATATTTGGTCTAAAACGTCTTTTAATCAGTTCATAGTGAAAGGGTACAAGACATTTACATGGAAAAACTCAGACTCGTGTAGGCAGTTTTGGATAGTAAATAAAAATGGCTATATTGTGTTGTAGTCATGGTGATCCCTGGTTCCTATCACCACCCCTGTAAAAACAAGAGTCTTTACAATCAACCATTTCACACCAGACCACTCTGAATGACATTGTTTATATCGCAGTAATGGAAGTATGCAAATGATTGGAAAAATTGGTGGAGTTCCCCTTTAAGTAAGGCAAGTGAGAGGCTTCATCGTGTCTGAGGGAGTTGGTTCTTAATATCTTGGTCCAGGAGTTTTGTGAGCAAAATATGGAGAAGATCCACCTACCTGCCCTCTCCATCTAACTATTGATTTCAGAGGTCTGTGATTACCTGAATGAGAGGTGTTAGATTTGGGTTGGAGGTGGACCCCTTCGGGAGGCTGGGTCTGTTGGTGACCCCTGGATTAGGGGATCCTCGGTGCTTGGCACTGGGAGTCAGAAGAGTGTCCGGTTTTTAATGGATCTCCAGCTGATTGATGTGTATTTTGCTCTATTCTGTGTTCTTGATCACCTAGTTCTGGTGGTCTTTAAGCCATGATGGGGGTCTACAAGTGTGAGAGGGGAAACTGTTTAACTCGTGTCTAAAGAATAAGTTTAGTCTGATAAGTTAAAGTGTCCTTTTCTCAGTGCGGTTCTTCTTGACAGCTACACATCCTTTCAGACCATAGCGCTGAGTCGTCTTCTCACAGTGGAAGGATGGACAGAAACACCTGTGGATGTTTTCAGATCTGAAGCAGCTTGATTCTCTCCTCTCTCTGATGAAAGCTTTAAGTGCTGTTCATCTGATGGGGGCGGTTTTGGTGTCTACCAGGTCTTCCAGGTGCTTGTTAGGAGTCTCATTTTCTCTGTAGCATTTTAAACATTTTGTTGAGCTCCGGTTTTTGAAAGTCCTGTTTTTTTGACTGCAGGTGGATCTCATATCTAAATATCTCCTGAAAAATCAGTACCCTGTGCTCAAGGGCTGTATTGACTGCACGTAAAATACATTAAGGGTGGCCCCTGAGTTTTGCACAGTACTGTAGGTGGATGCGAGTGTATTAAGGCCTGATATGAAACCTTTGTCTAATACTGATACTGGTTTAAGGTGTCAAAATGCCTGATAGTCAAATAATTTTATATTTATATTTTGTCTTTTAATCATATAGTTTTAAATAAAACAGTGTTTCACTGACTGCTATGAATGTGTGTTGTGTTTTATATAGTTAAATATCTGAGGAGAGAGTGTCGTGTTAGCCTTCCCAGTGCGACAGTCGTCTAATTATCGTCTCATTATCTGCAATATTTTTGCCGAAAGTGAAAAAATTGCTGGTCATTAAAATCAGTTGATATTATCAGCAAAAATGCTGGTGTGAAAATGTGTGTTTACAGTGTCGTCACAGATGCTGATTCAACATTTGCATGTCCTACTTTAGGCATATGGCTGGTGTGTATTTGTGGGGGTGCCAAGAATATTTTTCCCTCAGTAAATATACTTGAAATACTTGTTCCTGCTTGCGCTGATGCAAGCAGTGTCAATGCAGAGACAGCTGGCATGAAGAGGCACATGGTTTGAATTATTATTTTATTTCTCATTGATCGTACGAATGCACTTTCTTGCATTGCTCACAATTTAGACCTGAAAATGTCTTCGCTTTGCTTGGATTCGGATTAAACTGCAGCTTTAAATCAGGGTTTTGATGCCTGCTGTGTTATTTGTGCCCTTTGTTAGGACTGACCGATTTAATCCTTTTTATATTGAAATCACAATTTGAAGTTGAATTTGAAGAGTGCAGTTTTCAACTATCCTTACATATATAACCTATTCAGCCTACAGCAGTTTAGCTCCGCCCTCTTATACTGAAGTTATAAGGAGTGTTTCAGCACAGAACACCTTCTGAATGAGGCATGGGCTGGAGTTTTGTCATTCACTGTCCGGCGTGTAGAGTCCGTATAGGGAAACTATGTCACAAAAACCAACAGGCTTTTACATATATGCTTACATATAACCTGCTCAGCCTGTAACAGTTTAGCTCCACCCACTTATACTGACGTTATAAGGAGTGTTTCAGTCCACAGTGCCTTTAGTTTGAGGCAAAGGCTGCAATTTTAGTTCTGTGCTACATTATTCACAGTTGAGAGTTCATGAACTGGCAATCAGACAGAACACATTAAGGCTACGTTCACATTACCGGGTTAAAGTGGCACAAATCCGATTTGTTGCCCTAATGTGACTCAGATCTGATGTTTTAGGGCTGTGTGGACACGCAAATCTGAACTTTTCAAATCTGACCTGAGTAACTTTAATATGTGGTCCTAGATCAGATACGTATCCGATTCATGGCCATGCCACGTTAATGTGACGCTCAGATCAGAATTCATGTGCTTTATTTCACTGCCTGTGCGCCATCATTCAGCGTTACCATGGCAGCAGCGCCGAACAGAAGTTAAAGCCTGTAAACGTTGGAAAAGAAACACATCTCACCTGTTTCTCCTTCGTCTCACTCTAATATTGAAGCTGAGATCTGATCAGTTAATTATCTTCTCAGCGAAGCTCGTTCTGCTCGTTAGTTTGAGCTGATGATGAACGCGATTCATTCATGTGACGTTACTGAGTAGGATGTGCTCATGCGGGTCATTTTCAGGATGCCGGTTCGTTCACATTAATGACAGATTTGAATCACTTACTTAAACGAGTGTGAACCATCGTGTCAGAGAGATCAGATTTGAGCAAAAAATCAGGCTTGAGAAATGAGCTTAATTTAAAGGGCTCCTATTATGGAAAATTTAACTTTGCTCAGTTTTTTAAAAAAAAATAAGAGTTTTATTTATTATGGGAGCATTGTTAAAATTTCTAAACATACCATACAGTTCATATATGGAAACTGACCTGCAAGAACAGCCTGTTTTGAATTCACAGTGTCACTAAAACCAACACATGTACATATTTGCAACTATTCAGCCTATAAGAGTTCAGACCTGTTGGTTTCACGCTGAAGTTATAAGGAGGGTTTCAGCCTGAACTGCTTTTTGAATGCGGCAACCAGTCAGTGCAGAGTTCATTTACATACCTGAGTCTTAAAGGCACAGTAACAAAAATAGCCTGCTCAGTTCTAGAGGATAAAGAGAGGTGGGAAAATGGTGGTGTAAACATACATTTTGGCTGTTTTTGCTAAATAATACAAACACAAACAAGCGTTATAAATGGAAATATAAAGGATGGGGGCCTTTAAAGAAAATCACAATATTGGTTAGAAAAATTGCAAATAGATAATTTCCCCGTTCAGGTCTACCATGTTTGTGTGGAAGAGGAGATTTTCGATCTGAATTTTGATCTGAATTTGATGTATTTTGATTGAAATTTGTGCGTCTTGTCCTGCGGGAAACCCATCGTATGAATTTTCAGCATGTTTTTGTCATTTTTTTTGACTTGGAAACAGGCGGTGAAAAGCCAGAAGACTCTAACCTGTTGATTCAGATTCAGTATTGCATAACTAATAACATAACTATATAAAAACCAATGTCAGTGTAAATCACTTGTATAGCAAAGCAGCGGTGAGTACAGACTCCTGAGGGTCAGTGAGTTCTTCAGAGTTGCTTGTGGTTTCTGACTGTTGCGTTTCCCTCAGGCTCCAGGTGAGGGCGCTTCTCCTCTGTGCCCTGGTTGATACGCTCTCTTGCTGCTGACTGAAGTTCAGTGCTGCGAACCCCTCTCTGTTTCCGTGGAGACACCATGTCCTCCACGTCCTCCTGCTCCTCGTCGGGGGAGACCAGCCCAGAGGATGTGCCCCGAGGCGGCGGGACCATCCGCGTCTACCTCCCCAACAAGCAGCGCACGGTGGTGAGTACGGCCACGTTCAGCTGGAGCATAGATACTTTCTGCGTGGGGGGAAAAGTGGACAGTTGTCCGTCGTGCTCTGTAGTTAACAGTGCTGATCCAAAGCGGATACGTTTTGTTTTCTGTATAATTTCTCCCTGAAAGGAGGAATTCGGCACAGTGACCTCGAGAGAAGTAGGTCTATAGCGTTATAATAACACTATTACATTATATTAATATTACTGTTAGGGCACGATCGATAAACTGACTAGCCGATAATATCAGTAGATATTATTGACTTGTGGATTTATCAGCGTAGACAAAAAGATCAAAGATGATGCCGTGAAAGGTAGCACTATTTTTCGCTGCTGTTGGAACAAAACCTTGTATCTCCATTTTTGTTGTTTTTCAGTTTTTGACATTATTTGAAAATGCCTTTTGCTCTTTACGTTGTTTGTAAATTTCATGTTGAATGGACCAAAATAAAGGGCCCAAAATTACTAAAAAATGTCTGGTTCCATTGACTTCCATTAAAAGTAAAGTATGTTTTTTCCTTCTCCTGTAAAGTTACCGTTTTGGAGATACGAGGTTTAGTTCCGACAACAGCAATTTATTTTTTTAAAATATTATATTTATTTTAACCCATTATTTTTAACTCAGTAGTTTTGTAATTAAACGGTCCGGGTCATGGACAGCCAACATTTTCTCACAATAAACATTGTTTTAAAAGGTATCGTTCACTGGCCAACCTGTACCATCCAGGCTGTTTCCACCTCACTGTTTTTGTGATGTCACAGAAACCAACAGGCTTTTACATACATCCTTACATATAACCTATTCAGTCTGTAACACTGTAGCTCCACCCACTCACACTGAAGTTATAAGGAGCGTTGCAGCCCAGAATGCCTTTTGAATGAGGCACAGCCTATCAGAACAGAGCTCATTTACAAATATCAGTCTTAAAGGCACAGTAGCAACAAAAGACTGTTTAACTCTAAGGGATAAAGAGATGATGGAAGTACAAATTAATGCGTTTTCTTCTTTGTACATTAGACCACACAATTTTTCAGATTTTAAAAGTGGATCTCAGGGAGAATCTGAAATACAAGAAAAATGTAGAATATGAAGGTATCAGAGTAAATATTGCTCGTGATTCGGTATCAAAGTCAACATAAATGTATTACAGCTGTGAATGATATTCGGTCCTGCTGTTTAAAATCATTAAAGAAGAGAAGCAGATGTTTAGCAAAATGAACAAGTCTGTTCATATATTTAATAAATTGTCAGATTGTGGTTTTATTGATTATATAGAGAGTATTAAAGGTCACTGGGTAATTACTGATTGATACCTGAATGCTGTCCTTGACCTGGTGATGGTGGTCATGTGTGCTTATGTATGTGTGTATATATATATGTATGTGTATGTATAAAATCAATACAGCAGTCATTAAAAAGCTGTTTTGTGTTCAGGTGAACGTGCGACCAGGGCAGACGGTTCACGACAGCCTGGACAAAGCCCTGAAAGTACGAGGCTTGAGCCAGGAATGCTGCGCTGTTTTCCGCCTTCTTGAAGGGTGAGTGCACCGCGCAGACCTGAACTTCTTTCAGCCCCAGTCAGAGCTGCAGTAACAGAGCCCTAAAATTGACGCTGGCACAGTTGACCCTGCCCTGCGTTAAAGGAGCGGTTCAGCGAAAAATCAGAGTTACACAGTTGTCTACTTTCCCTAGTTGTTCATCAGTCGTGCCGTTCAAATTTGGCTTCTTTCATTTATAGTTGGAGCTATGAAGCTAACATGGCTGACAAACACTAAGACCCAAACTGTTTCTGTAAAAATACATCAGCAAAACGTCACTCAGACCACAACCAGTTCTTCATTAAGGTGGCGCAGGCCTGTCGATGTGGTTTAGAGCGCAGTGTGACTTAGTGTGACCTATAAAAATAAACACAGCTGTAGGCAGCCACTTCAGACACATAAACCACCTCAGGAGTGGAAATGCTGATCTAGAACCAGCCTCGTAGCTCCAGAAAAAAAGACACCAAACTTGTCTCTGCTGATAGGCGACATCTGGGGTAAGTGAGAAATTGTGTGATTTTTTTTTTTTTGTTGGGCCTTTAATGGATACATTTAATAAAACTATATAAATAACTAAATTGATTTATTTTTGTTTACATAAAAAAAATTGAATATTCATTTGCCATCATCCTTTCTTTTCTGATGACCAGACGCAAGAGGCTTACAGAATGGAACACTGACATCACGCCCCTCGTGGGGGAGGAGCTTCTAGTCGAGGTTTTGGATGATGTCCCCTTAACCATGCACAACTTTGTAAGTTATGAACACCTTCTGTAAGAAACGCTTTCAAAGACACTAAGGCATCTGATCCAGCTATTTAAGGACTTCTGAAGAAACTAATTAGCTGGAGCAGGTTTGGCAGATTGTGGTTCGATCCACGTTCTACAGAAAAGTTGATCTGGTTGTTGCACCAGCTGAGCGCAAGTTCGATCATAGCCTACTTTGAACATAAACTGCCAACTATGTTGAAGTTACTGGAATTTAACCGGTTGCAAGTAACATAGTTTCAACGTAGCTTTAAGTTATAGCTTAAAATTTAGACACCCATAGTAGGTGTATGGGTTCTGTCTAGGGCTGGGCGATCGAAAAGTAATCGAAACCGACGTTCAGAACCTCTAACCGATGTAATCTCTCCCATGTCGGTTATTTAGTTTTTTTTTTATTCTGTTAATCCTTTCCCCACTCTGTTTTCATGTACTGTCCCCTTAAAACTTACTACCGCACGTGTCGTCACATGACTCCCCGACATGGATGTTCACACAGCAGGTAAAAGTGGCCCAAATCTGATTTTCTCACCAAATCGATTTTTTTTGTTTGTCTGTTCACATCATCTTTAAAATGTGATCTGTATGCAACATCAGTCTGAACAGATCAGCTCCTAAACTGATCCACATGCTCAAAAGAACAACGCGTCACGCTGCTTCACGGCTCATCCAGAGGTAAACAATCATGACTATGAACGAACAGTTCATAGTCGCTCCCAGAGGATCAGCTTCATCTTCACCAGCATCACAGGAGCCATCATGAAGCTTCACTGACTGACAGCTGGGCTCATCACCCAGAATGTGTTCGAGCCGTAAAAAGGGCGCGGTCACTTCTTTGGTTCACGTCCTCGGATTCTTTAAACTTGGCTTTCAGACTTTTAACTGTTCTTTGACGCTGCAGCCTCGTTCTCCTACGGCCTCGTTCAGACATTTCTTTAGAAATCTCTTTGAACACGGAGGTGCGTTGGATGAGTCTCTTCTAATTTTTTAGGTATAAAAATATCAGCCTCAATGTTTATTAGGTCTCAGCAGGGCAAAATTATTATGAATGTCGAGTTGAATTGACGTAAAAGCAGCGTGAATTCAGATCTGACTGTTTAGACAGTTTACATTAAGATATGCAGAACATATTTACAGTACAAACATTGTCAGTGAACTATGAGGGCAAAAAAACACAACATCGTTCATTAATCATGATCGAGGTAAAGTATCAATTAATTGTGATATTGATTTGAGGTCATATCACCCAGCACTTGTTCAGCACTAATTCTTAAAATGGCAGGTCGATTTGATGGGAAAACTAGCAAGAAAACGAAAGACGTCTCTGCTTGTGTCGGCAAACGTTACCTTTCTGGAGTTCAGCAAATTCAAATAGCGATTACGTTAGTCGCAGCTTTGCTAACGTTACTGACCATTCGTTGATAAAATGCTGTTAAAGTATTTTGCTCAATGACCCCAGTTGAAAAAACTCCAAGCAGCATTAAAACAGAATAAACACACAGAAGAAAAGGCCACTTTGGTGACACCGCTTTGTTGTAAAACACAATTTCATAACTAACATGACAGACACTGCTTAAGTGAAGTACATGCAGCACGAAAAAGAGAGAGGTGCGAGCGATTTCACTGCGTGTAATGATTCCTGTTTGTGTTGGGTAGCCTTACTGATTGGCTGCTGAGTGAAAACGCGATTCTGTGCGACAGTGTTTTGATCTACGACCCCTTTACGCTCTGCTAATTAAGATGTACCGTAAGTATCTGTGGTGCAACCGAAATTCGGTGTCGCTAGTTTCAAACTAACTGCTCTCAACGTGAGGTTTAGGATGGACTTTACACCCCAGCTTATGATCAAACCGACGTTCGGCTGGTGCAGCGGGCTGCAGGACCAGGGTCGATGATCAGTGGCTTTATATCAGGCATAGCCAACATTAGTATGTTTCCAGGAAAACACTTAATGCGTTAAAATGACTTACAGCCAAGTTAATACACTGTAATTGCATTGTAGCTACAAAGAGCCTGCGATTTTGCATATTATTGACGTTGTCAAGTAGAATTTAGCATAAAATATGAAAGTGGAAAGTTTCTAAACATTTGAGATGTAAACAAAAGTCATTCATGAATGGATTTAAAAAGCAAGTTTTAGGCAGAACCTTCTCAGAACTATCATTAAACAGTGTCTCGGGCATCAGGCACTCCATTCATAACCATTTTATGTAATAACGTTCTGTCAGGGAGCTTTTAGAGGTGGACGTCTGGTTCCTCTCACCACCACTCTACAATCAACCATTTCACACCAAACCACTCTGAATGACTCTGTTTACATCTTTGACATTTAATTATGCAGAAGCTATAGAACATATAAATACAGCACCAGTAGTTACACATTGTAATACGTTCTATGAGCTGAATTTTAATTGGAAAATGTTCTTGTGTGTGTGTTTTTAAACCTCTTCCAGGTTCGTAAAACCTTCTTTAAGTTAGCGTACTGTGACTTCTGCCACAAGTTTCTGTTTAATGGGTTCAGATGTCAGACGTGCGGCTACAAGTTCCACCAACACTGTAGCAGCAAAGTCCCTACGGTCTGCGTGGACATGGACACAATGACCAAACGGTGTGTATCGTGTGCTTTTGTCCGTGTTAATGTACACGGTACGTACATAAATACCATGGTGTTGGAAAAAGAGTTAAAGTGCATTCGGATGGACTCATCATGTGTTTTCTGTGACATGGTCTTTTCTCAGGTGTGTTTCCACGACAGAAGACTACCCCCCCATACCTATTTTAATGATGCCTGATACTATGTCCGTACCACCGAGTGACCTAGCCTTAACCCCGGAGCCTGGGTATGTTCGTTTGTTTGATTTAGATTTAAACAGTGATGCGTTTCTGTACTGTGATTTTTTGTGTCGACTGAGCCGCTGACTTTACTTATTGATCTGTATTTATGCAGAACAGTTTTAACATTTGATGCAACTTCACAGGTTTATAACTAAATTAGTAGAAGCAACCAGAGCTGTAGATGATTCCATAGTAACTGAGAAAGGTGTATCATGTCTAATAAAGTTCAAGTAAAATTAACGTCTAAAATGAAGTTTTAATAAAATTATTCTCAAGATAGATGGATGGGTGGATGGATAGATGGGTGGATGGATGGATAAATAGAGCTTAACTGATTGCGGTGTTACAGTATCACGATATGTAATTGCACTTAAACTCACATATATGAGACGGAAATAAAAATAATAACAAAAGATAGACATAAATTAGGGCAGAAATAAAAAAAAAGTTAGAGTAAAGTATGAAGGAGTAGAAATAGAAGTATATCTGTTTGCATATTTACATGAGAGCAAGTTTTTCACTAAGTGGTATGAGGTAAAAGTTTTAAAAAAGTCGTCACACAACTTTATATCAGGCCTCGATATCAAAAGAAAGAAAAGTGGGCAAAAAGACACTGAGTGCGTTTGCGTGCACTAAATAATCCGATCATAATCGGATTTCTGCAGTTATCCGATTATTCAAATGGTCATGTAAACACCATACTCTGATTTCTTAGATCGGACTAAGGTCTAGAAATCTGATGAAGAAATCCGATAAAGCGAGCTGGATTTTAGCTCAGTAATCAGATTTCTCAGTGCATGTGAACTCTTAGTCTGATTTCTTTCGGATTTCTCAGTCTGAGCATGTGCGAAAACAGACAGCGGCACCAGCAGCGTTGCCGCAAGATGGCAACAGAACACTTTGGGAGTGACGCTGAAACCAAACATGAAATGAAGGATTTAAATATTCTTCATTTTCTAGATGATGTTTGTTCGTATTTTCAGGTAAAGTCACTCAATGTTTAAAAATAGCCACGGCATTAAGTTCGAGTGTCACGTTACGTTTACGTCACGTCGTCTTCTGTAAGTTTATTGGCTGGTTGCAAAGCAGAAATCTGATTGCTGTCTGACTCCTGTAGACCTGGAGTTTCACCGTTATCTGATTACTGTGCATATAAACGCGTTGATCGGATTACTGACAAAATCTGATTTTCTTTAGTTATCGGATTTTTAAGTGCATGTAAACAGACTCACTATTTATGAAAACAGAAGACACAGAGCTGCTGGTTCTAGTAAAATTAATATCAGAATGACGTTCTAAAAACATCTAGAATGAGGTTTTCATCAGATTAATGTCCAGATTGAGGTTCTGATTAAACAGTAGTAAGAATGGAGTGTTTAAAACCTGGAACCTCTTAAACAGCAGAGCGTTTGACTCCTTTGTGTACGAATGTATAAACAGACTGTATAAAAGTTATGAATGAGGTGTAAAATGTGACTCTGACCTTTTGAACTGTAGTTTAGGCCTTAAGGTTTTTTGTGCTCCTCTCAGCCAAGGGCTGCTGTCCCCGTCCTCGGCCTTCCACTTTCCCTTGCCGGGGGCGGACGGTCAGTCGCTCCAGAGGCATCGCTCCACCTCAACCCCCAACGTCCACATGGTCAGCACCCTGGGCCCCGGCGCCGCCAGCATCATCGAGGTCAGACACGCTCATTCAGACACAGAGAAACACAGTTCATTTTGATTCATCCTGGTCTTCAACCTGAAGCTACAATCAGCGTTTTCGAGACATATTAATTATATACAAAGTGAGGAGACCAAGAAAGGAAGAACTCTTACATGACAACAGTTATGAAGTCTTAAAAGAGCAGTGAAATGTTTCTGAAATATCCTGATTGTAGCTTTCAGCAGATCCATCACTGATAGTGCCTGAGGTTCTGGATGGTTCTTTTGAAGGTTCACCTTTTGTCCCCTTTTTAGGTTTTCTGCATCTCATTGTTTGTTTGTTTGTTTATTTATTCATTCCTTTTGTTCCACTCTCATTTAGGAGGCATTAAAAATCAACAACACAATGGGTGAGTTCTTTTTCACCCTTTGACTTGACCAGCCGTTACACCATGAGCATGAATTCATTTTCTGCAATGTTCAAGCCACATTTCTGAGTTTCAGCCCATTGTTAAATCAGGCTCTTAACCCTAAGAAGTCCAGTTATTACTGTTGTTCTGCTAAACTGTTTAAATGTAATTACATAATTAACGTAATATTGATTTACCTTCTGTATTGACACGTTTAAGTCTGCACTTCTGACTTTTCTGGTGTTTTTCAGTGTCAAACTTTGCTGAAACAAGCACTTTTCTTTCTTTGCAACAAGACTATACGCTTAGCAGTAACATCAAATTCAAATTACAGTAAAATGCTTCTTATGCTTATTAACAAATATGGTGTGGACTGGAAGTGCATAATGTGCACTTTCAGCACAATTTCTGTGTATTTAAAGGGGCCACGAGTAATAATTCATAATGAATATTTCATTAAAAATTACATGCTTCTGTTTGCGCTGGTAGTAACTGCGACTCAAAGGGTTAAATCTGAAACTGAACTTTTCCACAGTTACGCTGTAAGTTCTCAGGTGTGCTGTCGAACTGTATCATTAACAGAGGTTTTTTGCCCCCACAGGACCAGAACCCTCTCCCAAACCCTCGACCAGTCCTCCTCAGCTGGGCTCCCCGGGCCGAAGACCACCCAAATCACCCTCGGAACACAAAGAGCGCAAGCCGTCCTCCTCCGATGAGAAAAAGAAAGTGGTTAGTAGCTTCTTTTGGCTTTCCTTTTGTTGAAGGTCTTTGTTTAGATCTCAAGCAATTCCCTGATATGTTGATTGCAGTTAAAGCAGAATTGTGAAAAATTGTGCCACCCTGTTCTGTAATGCAGTGTGGGATTGGTTTTGTTTTCTTAAATCATATTTCATACGAAGCAATTAAAACAAGCCTCTGACTTAAAAGTGACCATTAGAAATATTATAATTGCTGAATATTGATATTGAATGAGATGGGGGGAAAAAATACCACAGTAAGAGTTTTGTCCTCGTCTCTCAGCCCTGATTTCATCTATTCAGCTGTGAATCTGTTCTCTCCTCCAGCACCGTGTTGGCTATAGGGACTCCAGCTACTACTGGGAGGTGCATTCGAAGGAGGTAACCATGCAGAAGCGCATCGGCGCCGGTTCCTTCGGGACAGTGTACAAAGGCAAGTGGCACGGAGACGTGGCCATCAAGATCCTTAAAGTGACGGAACCCACACCGGAGCAGCTGCAGGCCTTCAGGAACGAAGTGCAAGTCCTACGGTGAGTGGTCTCGGTCGTGAAGGGAGCGCTAAGGTAAAGTTTTAGAATTTACTGTCCAGTCGATATGTGGAAACTCATTGGGTTCAATTTGAACTTAACATGTTTGTGATGTCGCATCCATAAACACGTACATGTGACTGCCTGTTCTGCCTGCAGCAGTTCAGCTCCACACAGTCTGCCTACAGAACAGAGTTGTTGGAGTGAAAGATGTGGAAGAATAATTAAATGTTGTGCTGTTTCTGGCTGTCGGGAGGCAAATGGATCATTATATTACAGTTGTTTGTGGAACTTAACATATATTGGGGGGAAAAAATAAACTGATTTTACACAGGACACATATTTTAGTTTTTTACAATGTGCTAAATTCAGCAAATGTGCAAATTGTGTAAACTTTTCCTACATATATCTGTAATTGTTCTTCACACAGAGTTAGAAAAGTCCAACATTTCTGATTTGTCTAACTAAGCGAAATGGACAGTTGTGTATCATAACATTTCCTTAATTTCTCGTTTTTCTCTTCTGTTTCCACTTAATTTTCTTCTTCTTCTTCTTTTCTTGTTTTCTCTCAATGTTCCTCTTTTCTGCCTTTTCTTTTTTTTTTCTTCCTTCTTCTCTTTCACCCCCGTCTGCCGTGCAGAAAAACGCGTCATGTCAACATCCTGCTGTTTATGGGCTTCATGACGAAGCCGCACTTCGCCATCATCACGCAGTGGTGTGAGGGCAGCAGTCTGTACCGCCACCTGCATGTCACCGAGACCAAGTTTGACACCATGCGCCGCATTGACGTGGCCAGGCAGACCGCGCAGGGCATGGAGTACGAACACCTTGATCTCTGAAAGAATAGAACAGATTAGTTATTTGGTATTTTATGTTTGTTTTATGCAGTGTAGATTGTACTGTTATAAAACACAGAGGAGACAGGATATTTGTTGTGTTTTTGTAATATAATATGTTATAGACTAAAAATACACAGAAATGTATCATTTCGAGTCTCAAAGGAGATAACTTGTCATTATGCTTAATGTACTTTTTCCAAGTGATCTGCTTCAGGATTTGATACAGCACTGGGATATGAAGCATTCTAAAAATTAATTTTGCTAGAATTTTATTCTAGATATTATTTTTTATCAGAATTCCAATTGTTGTGTTTTTTTTTAATTTCTTATTTTCATTCTTGGTGTTTTACAGCTTTCTTGGTCATTTTAGAATCATCTCCAGCTCTAATTGTTCTTCTCTTTGTTTTGTTTTTTGACAGCTACCTTCACGCAAAGAATATCATTCATCGGGACATGAAATCTAATAGTATCCTTCCAGTACAGACAAAGTCGTAACTAAGAAAAGGACCATAATACATTGAAACGACATTAAACTAAGATAATGCGATGGTTATCATAATTTTTAACAGAGAAAATTCTCACATTTGTGGGTTTCTTTGGTCTCTCGTGCAGCCGTCTTGCCGTCTGTTTGGAGTGTGTCTCTGAAAATAATCGGTTTGGAGGGCCAGGTAGCCCTAACACTTCGCCGTACCCCTCTATCTCAACAAAAATCGGGACACCCTACCCCTAGATGTGAATACACAAAACGGAGGGATAAGGGCTAAGTGGTAGGGGCGAGGGGTGAAATGACACTGGTTCCAAATGTCAAGAGTCACACAAATCTTTCTTGTAAATACATCCCCAAAACTTCTCTCAATCCACTCAAATCACATCCAGCCCTTCATTAGTTCTTATGAAGTTTCTGATGTGGTTTAAAGTAGTTTAGGGGACTGTGTGACCCACTGTAAGCAATAAAAATAAACCAAAACAGCCACTTTAGACAGCAGGTGTTGTGCTGAATTCTGATTCCCTGTGTGTCATGCAGGCATATAGATTACAGGTAACATTCATGATTTCTATTATTTCTATTGAGAAAATTCATGAGTAACATTTATAAAAAGATGCAACTGAAGTCACAAGCATAATCAGTAACATCCCTATGCCTCCAATATGTGCGGCCAGAATTCAGCGCAACACCTGCTGTGTAAAGTCGCTGCCAGCTGTGTTCAGTTTGTTCAGGTTTACAGCTCACAGTGAGTCTTGCTGTATACTAGACCACATGGACAAGACTGCACGACCTTAACAAAGACCTGGATGCGTTTGAAGTGGGACAAGAGGAGGTTTAGGGCTGTTGCAGTTTTTTTAGAAAAACAGCCTCATAGCTTCTAAATTGAGTCTTGGCTGATTATCTATATTTAGGGTAAAGTGGGAAACTGCAGACTATTTTTATCAAACTATTCCTTTAATGACCCAGTGAGGCGATGTTAAGGGCTCCACTTGATCCTGTAATGAAGCCCCTGATTGTTTCCACCACTGCCTCTTTCCCGGTGCTGTAAAGTCCCTTATCTGCTGTGTCAGATATTTTCCTGCATGAAGGTTGGACGGTAAAGATTGGTGACTTCGGTCTGGCCACTGTGAAGGCTCGCTGGAGCGGCTCTCAGCAGGTGGAGCAGCCCAGTGGCTCCATTCTGTGGATGGTGAGTGTTCGCACTCGTCACTATGTAACTGAGAAGCCAAACACTTGCAAATAAGCAAAATGTGATTCACTGCATACCAGAAGAGCAGGACACAGTGCTTGAGTGGATCTTGTAAATGGGATAAATGTTCTTAATTCACTTAAAGCCTTTTTCTCTCTTGTGTTTGCCCTCCAGGCGCCGGAGGTGATCCGGATGCAGGACCCGAACCCTTATACCTTCCAGTCGGACGTGTACGGCTACGGGGTGGTGCTGTTTGAGCTCATGTCCGGAACTCTGCCTTATTCCAACATCAACAACAGGGACCAGGTGAGTCACAGGCTTCTTTCTGTTTAACAGGCGCTGCTGTATTTCTGCTTTGGGATCAGGTGTCATGTGATATCAGAGGCGAGAGGTAAGAAGCTCATATTTTAAAGCCCCAGGGAACCAAAATCTTGTGTTTTGCTTTCTGTGTAGCTTATATACAGAGTACGTCCTCTGAGTAACTGATGTATTTCACCTAAATTCGCCTCTTTCAATGTAAACTAAGTGGACCTCATCTTGGGTAGCGCTGATGTAGGCAGCTCCCTCACCAATGATGGGGCTAACGTGGTTTCTCCCACCCACACAGGTTTAACAAAGCCTTGTTCCACCACAGTCTCCTTACAGAACCCTACAGAGGGCAGGCTAACAACCAAGCAAAAGCTATTCCAACAGTCAAGCTAGCTCATCTGTTTCACAGTTGATAGTTCTTTCTTTTCTGCTTTTGTTAGTACATTTGTCCATTCGGCCATGCCAGCATTTCCTGAGTGCATATCCAACAGTAAAGTGAAAAGAAACACTTACCTTCTTAAGATTTCACCCAAAAAGCTGGATAATGAGTCCTCAGATAGGGCTGGTTAGTGGTTTTAAGAGTTTTATTATATTTTGATCTTTTTTTTTCACTCAAACTTTGATGGATGTTTAACGTAACACTTTATTTTAATTCTGTTTACTTTTATAGAGAAGGTTTCAAAGAGATAATGTGTAAAACACGCTGTAGTCCAAAACTGCAGAAGCCGGCTGTGTTTTTAATAGTCAGTGCGTATTGATTATCTTCTTTAACCAAAGATTTTGTTCCAGAATATCCCTGTGCTGCACTCTCACTCTAGTGGGTTCTATGGGGAAAAAAAACCTTCTTCACACTCTTTGTTGATAACAGCCCCTTATAATGAGTAGTGTAGTTATTTACTCCTTTGTTGTAGACCCTTCTTTCTGTGTTAAACATAAAAAATCGGATTTTTGTGTTTATTTTTACAAAGGCGTTTCTTCCAGACATTTGGCTTGTAGTGCAAGTGCTAAGATGCTCATAAAGAATGAAGCTCCGACATTGTATCACCCCTGTTTCATGAACTAATGATGTCTTTGTTCCATTTTTATCATCTTAACAGATCATTTTCATGGTGGGTCGAGGATACCTATCGCCAGACCTCAGCAAGCTGTGCAATAACTGCCCCAAAACCATGAAGAGGCTCATCATGGAGTGTCTGAAATTCAAACGGGACGAAAGGCCCCTCTTTCCCCAGGTGAGATCCCTCAGGCTTTTTCTCACCTCTTCCTCAGTTGTGTGACTGGCCTAAAGGACAATTCCTTAAAAATCACACTTAAGTGTGTTCTGTAGAGGTCACTAATTCATTAGTGCCCTGCATTTACCAGTACAAATAAATATGCTGAGCAGTTTATATACAACCCATCCCTTCATGTTATTCTGCTATTCAGTAGTCAGAACACATTTCACATGGAAGTTCTTCTCCCTCCCGGGAGTTCAGTGTGTTCTCTGCTGTTCTTTTCATCCCACAAACCCCATAATTGTCCACAGTCTCTGTAGATGGATGCTGGTCCAGACTGAGAAGGCCCAGATGTTTTATTTAAGCTCTGCAAGCTTAATAATTTCTAAGAAATCAAAAAAAGAAATATATTAAATTGTTTTATTTAGGGTGCATTTGGCAGTTCAGTCACTGATCATGTGGTTATTCTGACGGATTACAGTACAGCAAGTGCAGCGGGTGATATGTCTTATTTTTGTTGCACCAGTGATATTCAAACTGTGGGGTGGTCCTCTCTAATAGGGCACAAAAAGAAAGTTCTCAAAACACTATTATGTAGATTAGTTGATTCTTCGATTTAATGGTTCATAGGTTAATCAGATGGTGAAATAACATGGTTGGGAGGTTTGACGGCAGAAGTTTGTCCACCAGAAGAGATTTGGTTCTACTGTGATAGTTGGCTAGATCTTATGCATTAACTGTAGTGAAGGTTCTCCATCTAGTACCTCCAGGATGAGTTAGGGTGATCCAGAACTGACTTACAACTGTATCTGACCTCACTAGTGCTCTTCTGATGTTCCAACTTCTAGTGTAAAGCCTTCCCAGAAGAGTAGAGGCTGTTACTGCAGCAAACTCTGTATTTATACCCTGGATTTCAGAAGAGCAGGTGTCCACAAACTTTTGGACATGCATGCATCTGTGCTGCAGGTTTTAATGTGCCTGTGTGAGGTGTGACTGTAGAGGAGGAGGAGGCTGTGCAAATGAACATGGCGAAGCGATTCGTGAACATGAGCTAAATGGAAAAATGACATTGTTTTTGACGCTGAAATTAGAGGTGGGCGGTAAAGAGGGGGCAAAAATGTCACATCACAATACTTTGAGATAAGAAGTTTCCATGATACCCTGTTGTGAGAGAGAGATTTTTTTTCCTGGCAAGTTGGAACAGACAAAATAGTCTCATTTAAAATTACTATCAAAAACATGGTTTATATTAAACATTTTCACGCACTGTGCTGCACTAAATCCAATTTAACAGGGCTAATTATGCTCTTTATGTAATCAGACATGCAGTTGAGAAGCTTTTAGAGTACTGATTATATCCACAGTGTGCTCAGAAAAGCATGCTGTGGCATATTGTGACACATTTAGCATTATTGAGAAATTATTTCGTATTGCCCAGCCCTGTTTGAAAATGGCCACCACACTGAAAGCACGAGAGAAAAAGGATTTACCATTAAAAGCAGCAAACTTCACTTTTTTTGTCATGTTTAAAAAAATAAAAAGAGTTTAATTTCTTAGGATTTCCCTGATTTTTTTCAATTGGGTTGTGTATTAGTTTTCTTTTATTTCTTTCTTTGTCGTAACAGAAGCATCTCCGTTTTTAATTTGAAAAGATCAGCTGCTGTTCACATTGTGTGAAAACGAACCAAAACAAATGATCTAGAATGACTCTGAATAAAATCTTTTTTTTTTTTTTAATATTTAGCATATTTTTTCTGAATATTTCTCTCCTTTAAAAGACATGCCCACATATACTTCTTCTCTTCCTCCCACCAAATGAGTGTTTCCTCACATTTTTTTAAAAGTCTCATGGAAGCTGCATATTTCATTTCTGCCTTTCTAGTTTGTTAACATTTCTCTTCTGTATGCTCACATTTCCCTTCACCCTCCTGCAGATCCTGGTGAGCATTGAACAGGTGCAGGACCTGCTGCCCAAAATCGAGCGCAGCGCCTCTGAGCCGTCTTTGCACCGGGCCGTTCACGCCGAGGACCTGAACCCGCTGCTCTTCCATACCACGCGCCTCATGCCCCTGTGAACCAGCCCCATCCGGACCCATCTGGACTGGCCCGGAAGCCTCCGGCAAGGCCGTCGCATTCCCCGCCCCGGGACCCCAGCGTTTCCCTGTTCCTCCACACATTCCTGTCAGCCCAGAGACTTCTGCAGTCACTACACACAGAGGCGTACTCGGACACGTCCCTGCCAGGCATTGCTGATCTCCATCGGCGCACACCTACGTCCTCTCTGTCCACACAACTCCGGAATTCTCCCGGTCACTCCAGAGCGGCCTCATCGTCAAGATCACCCAAATCTTAAAGCTCCACGAGCGGTGACTGTTCAGTTTGTTTTTGGGTTTTTGTTTGTTCCCCCCAGGTTTAAGTTCTATGTTTTTTTTGTTTGTTTTGTTTTTTTGTTTTTTTAGCTTCAAGCCTTTTTTCTACCTGTTTATTTTGAGAAGTGATAAGATTGTGGACCCGTTTTCTACACATGTACGATTGTATATTGTGTAGAAAACCCCAAAGATTTACATAGGTCATTGAATCATATTCCATTTCCTCCATGAGCTTTATAATGTTCACCTTTTGCCCTCATAGGACACTGGTGGTTCAGTAAAGATGGATGTAGGAATTTTAACAAGCTCAGACTCTCTCTGCGGTCATGTTCAGTTGGTTTGCACTTTGCTACGGGGAATACAGGTGAACACTACGCGATTTCTATCCGGGTTACGAGCTCACACCCTTCTGCACTTTCTACGAATCACTCATGACTAAGGCTGGGTATCAGAGATCAACATTTTCATGGGACTGACCGAATATGGTTGGTCTTAATGTTGGTGAGCCAAGAGGCATTTGTTCGTAGTGATTGGACGTCTAAAGGTGCATTCACACCTACTTAGTTTTGCGCAGACAAATCAGACTTTTTCTTTTTTCATTTTGCCAGGTGTGAACACACCACCTGTGCTCGGCCCACCAAAAGTCATGGGTCTCTGCCTGTTTTAACGTCTGACTCTTTTTATAGATTCTTATATCAATCATTCAGCCCAAGCTGATGTTAATAACAGCAGACAAGCAATAAAATAATAGCGTAGATATGCTTCTGGTTTTGGCACATGGAATTTATTTTTGACGCATCAGCGATCGTTCAGTTATGAAGATGAAGAGTTTAAAAATAAGGCTTTTTTATTGCTTTGTGATTTACATATGTTAAGAATGTCTATGTTCATACAAAATAGGAACAGGATAATAGATTTATATCAAGAATATATGTGAGAGATCTAGATTTTATACTATAATAGCCTATTGGATGTTAAAAATTGCTATTTTTGTGACTCTAATGTGAAAGTAGCAGCACTTTTTATCCTCAACAAATTCCTGACCAGCCAATGAACACTCATGAATATAATTTGGTGAACTTCAGCTGCTGCAATGGGGAAAAAATGAACCAAATGGAAAAAGTCACAACGTCACAAATCCAGAGTCTGGTTCAGACTTCAGAAAATGAAAACAGCCTAAACTGTACTGAAAACATTCGATTGCAGTGCTGCAAATCCATTGCAATATATGACTTTTTAATTCTGCTACCTTAAATGCACTGCAACCTTACATCAGTGCACCCTTAAATGCAGTACCACCTTAAATTCTCTGCCACCTTAAATTCATTTCTATGTTAAATTCACTGCTAAATTAAAGTAATGGTTGTACTTAAACTGAGGGATTGAGAAAGGTATAGAGTTTTTGAATGATACCCAGCCCTACTCATGACCTGCCACAGACAGACAAAATAGACCTACCTTATGTGGCACAGGCATTTTAAGAAAAGTGAGAACTGCACTTTGCAACATTAGATTCAAACTAGTACTGTAACTAGCGACTATTTCTAAAAATCAGCTAATTTACTGACTGTTATACAATGAATCGACTAATCGAACTGGGCTTTCGCGGCTTCCTCTGCCTTCATCTGTCATGGCACCTGGTGCAGTGAAACATTAGCAGTACTTCACTTTCTAGTGTGGTTTAAACAGATTGACAGTGTGTTACTAGCACATTTTACGGTGCTTTTGTTTCTACGCATACTACACCTTTTTGCATGCATTTACATAACGCTGTCGAGACCCTGACGTGCACACCCACTCAAAGGCCTGATGGCTCCGCAGCTTCAGTGCTGGTTTTGAGAGACACTTTGATAGTTTCTCTGGTGATCAGCCAAAGTTTAAAAGAAAAAAGCTCAATCAGATTAAGGAAAAGCACATTTGACTCTAGCAATAAACAAGAAACATACATCAAATTTGACATTGTTGCTGTTTGTCTTTGCAGTGTTGCTGCAAGATCATGCATGGCACATTACAGTCTGCTGCTGATCACTCAAGGCCTCAAAATAGCGAAATCAAAGTCGCAGTCCATGGCAGATGAATACATTTAGTGCCTGTAGACTTCACAGTTGCTGCTGGGCATTTATGTAGTGTTGGTCATCATGCTGCCTTTACTTAAAAGCATTCTAGCTGCAGATACGATGTGGTTAGCGAAAGGTCAAGATTTGGATGTTTTACTCATCCAGTTACAGATTTGTGCAGAGGCTGTCTTTATGAACTTCTTGGTTTGACTGCGTTCCTCAGAGGAGAAAGGCTCTTTGAAAGCCTGTTACTGTCGTGGTGAGTCATGGCGATTGTGTCCAGCTGAATTTCTTTTCCTCTTCGTCATGACTTAACAGTTTCTGCTGCGTATTAACGGCACATTTTCTCTCAGTCTGTGCTGTGAAGTCGTGTGGTGCGTTGCAGATGGCTGTGATGAATAATTATGTGCAGACTAGTTTGTGTTTTTGTGTCTGCTGGGGTGTTTTTAACCCTTAGAAGTCACTGTTATTACTGTTTTATTCTAATCTTATATGAATTTTCACTCGTAGCTCTAACACAATTGGAGAGATTGTGGAAAGTATAGATTCTAAACTTTCAGGCTGTGATTTTAAGAAGCAGGGGAGATACTTAATTATAGCTTGAGTTGCAAAAGGAAAATACATTCACATTTTGGTCATGAAACAAGTCAAACAGGCCGAATTGAACCTAATTCATTGTGGAGCTCAAAGTAGTTAATGTCATTATTCGATGTGATTTAAAGTGTTAATCAAAAAATAAGATTAACAGACAAATGCTAAACGTCTGTTTTTGCCTTGGCCTAGTCACATTGTGTCTTCTGCCTTGAAATCAGTGAGTTCCATTTTTTTATATATATATATATATATATATATATATATATATATATGTATATGTTATATATATATATATATATATATATATATATATATATATATATATATATATTTTATATATATATATATATATATATATATATATATTTTATATATATATATGCTTGTTTACTGGTGCTTTTCTGCTGCGATTCCTTTGTGCTGTAGCTTTGCTTCATTCTGGCTGCTACCCACCCGTCTGATGTGCGGTTGCTTTTAGACAGCTGCAGTAGTCCTTTGGACTAAACATATAACCAACACGTAAAACACAGGCTCTACACTGACCTCTAGTGGAGTATAGTGTTCAGGCATCTCATGGTGCTACAATATGAGAACGTATGACATTTAAAAGTAGCAAATTTGCATTTTAAAAATCCCATGTTTGTTAAACTTTCGTAACTGTTGAAAAATTCTGACTTTGTCAGATAGTCCATGAAAATACTGGTAATAACTCTTGGCCTTCTAAGGGTTAAACACTAGCAAGGATAGATGACTGGCCCAGAATAGTCTGTCACCTGGATCTGATCTCTAAACATTGCTCCATCAGCAATTTCAAGAAAATTTCAGCTCCAGTGAGTCAAGATTGTTGTTAGCAATAGTGCAGACTGTCTGTGAGGGAGTGGCTGTTTGGTTTTCAAGGCAGTAGAAGAAAAAAAAAGGTTCAGAAACTGGACCAATCATGCCTGCTGCAACTTGTTCTCCATACACAAACTGCTGAGTAAGGCTCTCTTGATCTTTCCTTCTCTTGCTCCTGGAGGTGACTTGAGAGGAAGTGCACAACAGCTGCCATCTAGTGACTGCAGCACTCTGTTACAGCTTTGTTTAGGCCACAAGGGGGTAGATGAGCTCAAATCTGTTTGCTTTGCCTGCCCGAGGTCATAGACACTACCTCCTTAAGAGGCAAGGACTCAACTGCAACTCCTCACGCTCATAACTACAGAACTACAGAATTTAGACGTTAGTTTCATAGTAAATACTCAGTTGTTCATAGTAGTTACTGAATAATAATTCTTAAGATTAGTAAGCGAATAAAAAGCCGGTTTAAGGGGTAAAAGAATATGAATATTGTAAAGCTTCAGCTTCGAGATTTTACTGGCGTTTGCTGTGACGCTCTGTTCTAAGCTCTGAAATCACATGCAGTTCTCTAGTTGTTCTGCTTCTGCGAGTGTTTGAGATGTTCCGGTTATTCATACAGGAGGCGGGGTGAGCTATATGAAGAAATGTGTTTATTCTGGAGGAATGTAAGGTGCAGACTGTCAGGGCAAAGTTCAGACTATACTTTTTTTGTCCAAAGCAATATCGTTGTGACATTATGAGGCCTTATGACCTACAGGTTTTTGTTTTTCTTTGTCTTTTTAGTAGATCTTTAAGATTGCACAAATAGTAAGTAGAGAAGATCTGTGTAACTGACAATTTTTTTTTTGGTAATTTCCCCAACGTTGCGACTTTTATTTTTGAAAGGGGCTGGTTACCCTTTACAGCATCCTTCTTTCTGATGGTTGTGATAAGAGTGGGTGGTTCTTAGTATGCGTAGATTCCCAGCACCACATGTAATTGAATTGTGTTCACGTCAATCAAATACTTCAGCAATAATATGAGCCTTGGGTCTAGAATCAATTTTAGAGCTTAGATTAACGTGGTTGGCTGTTATTGTTATTGTATAGCTTATAGCGGTCAGTGGCACAGCCAGATCCATATTGGACCTTTGCTAGCAGCAGCAATGGTGATGTCATGCTTTTATACCGCCCCCAGATAAAAGAGGTGGACTGCGAGGGAACTTGATGGCCTGTAGTAGAGCAGGATGAATCATATCCTTTGACCTTTTATTGCTATTATGATGCAGATGAAAGCAGCATATCTACTTATAGACCATCTTTACCCTTTGTTGCAGACGTGTGTATGTGTGGGCAAGTGTGTGTTGATACGTGGCTTAAGTGTGTGTTTTTAAGTAAGATGAAGATGCTAGGTACTTCTAGTAGGACCAAGATGCGCTCATTAAAAGCTACAAAAATGAACTAGTGCATATTAATATTGTCATACTGCTCCGCAATAGAACTTTATAATGTTAAATTAACAAATGTTAACAATGCTCCTTTCTGCTGGAGGCTGCAGTGCGAAACCTTCTTACAGTACAAGTCAGAGACCACCTTCCATTCTTTTCAAGAAAAAGAAGTTCAGTCTTAAAAGTTGGTTGCACTTTCTGCTTGTCATGATCCAAATAAGTCCACGTTTAAACTCATCAATCCATAAAACTGTTCTAGTGCACATTTTCTTCTTGGCTGTTTCTTTCTTCTTTACACCTACAGACCCACAGTGTTGAGTTCTCAGAGTGGAAAGATGTGTGGATGTTTTCAGATCTGAAGCAGCTTGATTTTCTCCTCTCTCTCAAAGATGAAAGCTTTAAGTGCTGTTTATCTGATGGGGGCAGTTTTGGTGTCTACCAGGTTATCCAGGTGGTTGTTAGGAATCCCATTTTCACTGTAGCTTTTAATTCATTTTTTCCTTACTTTCTTTCCTTATGCAACAAGAAAAGCAATCAGTGGTGGTCTCTGACTTCTGCACAGCCCTGTAAACAAATACCACCAGTGTCAAACCTGGTTCTTAAGGGTTTCAGGTGCAAATGTTTGCTGCAATAGTACATGTAGTATGTTCAGGAGTGTTCATAGCAGAGCTGTATAGTCTTAAAAATGACTAATGGGTTGGATAACTTGTTACATTTTACAATAAGAATATTAATAATAATAATAATATCAGGTTTTAAAACTGGTTAAATATGGCCTTCCATTAAGTTTAGATCAGTTTCTCTCTACCCTTATTCTAAAGGAATACTTCTCTTACAGATGTTGAATTGGGACCAGTAGCAGTTCGCTCAATGCTAGCATGCGATCAGCTTTCATTCATGATTGTTAGAGGCTGAGGTTGGTGGGGTCTTTTTTAAATCAGCCTAACTGATGGCTTTGATACTATGCTGGTTCCTTTAGGTTCCTTTAGTAAATCATAATCACAAGAAGCAGCTGAGCACATAGAAGTCAACTCTGAAGTAAACTCTGACTTGCACATTGAATGTTTTGACCCTGTTATGTGGACGTCCCCCAGACGTAAAGGGGAAACAGTGTGGAAAAAGAAGAGATTATTCAGAGCAACTATTTTAATCTTAAGCAAAAAGTTTTTCTGTTCTCAGCCATTTTGTATGACGTAAACAAGTGGGTAAAAGTTTTGGCATTTTTTTAAGCAGAATTGTTTTAAATCTCCCGACTTTTTTTTGTTCCTTGGCCTGTAATTGGTCTTTAAAGCACACAGCACATTCGTGCACTTGTCCAAATGCGAAACTCCACTTTAATGCTTCTGCTGTAGGGAACTGCCGGGGGGGGGGAATGGGTCAAACTCATTAATCCACAGTTGAGCATTTTTGTTTTTTTATCCTTTTCAGAGCAGAACACACAACCGATGATCAACTTTGTTAAAATAGTTTTTTTTTTTCATATTTTAGGTGAATTGCAATAATTTTTGTGTGTATAGTTGAGGTATAAGGGGTGTTACGTTTGCAATAAAACGGTGTATTCTGCTGTGTACAGTTACCTTTTTTTTTTTTAAGATTTACTTTAAAATTGTACTTGTTTCTATTTTTTTGTGTGATGGTTTCAAAAAGAACAAAATTATTTTAAAAAAATGTAAAGGAAATCTTAGTATTTTTTTAGGGTTATTTTTATTTGGTCTTAAAATATGGAGGAGACAGGATTTTATTCTTAAAATAAAACTGTGGAATTATGATGACTCTTTTTTTCTTTTAAATGATTTATCAGACGTTTTATTGCTGAAACAACTTGTTAAGCACATTAAGGATTGTTTCACCGAACATTGTTTCACATGACGTCCATCTCTAAAATCTCCCTTAGAGAAAGTTTTTACATGAAATGGTTATGAATACACCGCCTGATGTCTGACACATTGCTTTATGACAGTTGTGGGAAGATTTTGGCCAAACACCTTTTTTTTTTTTTAATCCATTTGTGGTGGAGGGGTACATGCAGGGTGTTGGGAGGCAAAATAGACCCCAAAGAAAACTTCTTATTTCAGATTTTTCATTAATTTTACCATCAACATTCAGAGGACTCGTGTAGGTTCACTGGTGGTTTTGGATAGTAAATAAAGTGGCTATATTTGTTGATTTGTCTCTACAATCAACCATTTCACACCAAACCACTCTGAATGACGTGGTGTTCTATTGTCATTTTCAAAGTACGTTTGCACATTTAAAATTGGGAAGTACCCGAATGTTTAAAATAGCTTTGACTTTTTTAATGGATAGTACTGGTAATAGACACCAGTGCAGCCCACACAGTTACTGTAGGAGTCACCAAGAGTCCTGCAGTGTTGGGATGTCCGAAAACAGTTTCAGTTCCAGTGGTCAGCAGTAGAACTTCCCAGTTGTAGTTTCTGGTATTTTGTTTGTTGGTGTAAACAAGCTTTTCCCATGATTTTCCCCAACTCTTTTCCAGCTACACTCTTTAAAAAGGCTACTAAGGTTTCTTGGAGTGATGTCGTAGAACAAGCGTGCTCAGTTCTGGTCCTGGAAATCTACCAGCCCGAATAGTTCAGATCCACCACACCTGGCTCTAATATTCAGATGCTCCTGAAGGCCTTCATTACCTGTATCAGGTGTGTCTGATTAGGGTTGGAGCTTAACTCTGGAAAACATCCACCCCTACCATAGAAGAACCACTTTTGAAACCGGACTGTGAATGTGGAGAACCTTCATTTTTAACTGTAAATTAGGTGTTTGATATGCAAATTAGTGTTTATAATTATCATAGTGAAGGACTATAACACTGCAGTCGGAAGAAAACCTTGTATCTCCATTTTGTCACTTTTCAGTTTTTGACCTAATGTGAAAATGGCGGTTGCCCCTTACATTGTGTGTAAGTTTCATGATTAATGGATCAAAAGAAATGGCCCAA